TTCTCTCCTTATACACTCTTGCTTTTCCTAAGGAATTGCATCCATTCTGAGTGACCTTGCGCAACTGTAACTGCAGCTTTGCTTTGTGGCTAAAATTTCCTTCTCCTTCCTTTGCATACACATTCCCTTGAATCTGCACCAGGAGACAGCTGCCAGGAAGGAATTGTATTAATAGATTTGTCTTTGAGTCTGGGAAATGAAGGACACCCACCAAAATTCCTGCCATGCCCCAAGCATCCCATGTTCTCACCCTTCCATCTTCATTCAACCTGGGTTGAATTTTTTTATTTTTATTTTTTTGAGATGGAGTCTCGCTCTGTCGCTCAGGCTGGAGTGCAGTGGCATAATCTCAGCTCACTGCAACTTCTTCCTCCCCAGGTCAAGCAATTCTCTTGCCTCAGCCTCCCGAATGGCTGGGATTACAGGCGCCTGCCAACATGCTCGACTAATTTTTTGTATTTTTAGTAGAGACGGGGCTTCACCATGTTGGCCAGGCTGATCTCAAACTCCTGACCTCAGGTGATCCACCCACCTTGGCCTCCCAAAGTGCTGGGATTACAGGCATGAGCCACCGCACTCGCCCCTGGGTTGAATCTTAATTTGAAGAGGCATTTTTGACATATTCCTTGCAGCATTCCAGATATCACTTATTAGATGCCCACTGTTTGACTGGCTACCTGGCCAGCATCCATGCACCTTCCCAGTAGTGCTTACACTTCCCTTCCAGAATCCAACCCCTCCCCTGAGCAACTCCCATGCTTTGGGGAAAAGTGATCTTCTGTAGCTTCAGCAGGAGGACTTGTTTTACCCAAGACAAAGGAAACATTCCATTTTCCTGGTGGCATCATGGTTCAGGGGTGAGTCTATGACCCAAGCCAGCTCAATCACACTGAATGTTGGTATTCCTACTTGGACCTCAAGGGAGACCTCCCTACTCTTCTTCATTGAATGTGTGTGTGGAAGCATGAAGCCCCAGCTTCGGCTGGTGGCCATCACATCATCAGGAGGAAAGCTGGTTTTCAGATGAAGCCAATCTTCCAGTCACAGAGTGAGGGACACAACGAACATTGGTTCTCAATTATGTCATTGAGCTGCTGGTTCAAGTCATTCCTGAGGCCAGCATCATCTCTGGACATTCCAGTGGCAGGGACCAAGATGTCTCTTTTGTTTAATCTAGTTTGAAGGCTGGGCGTCGTAGCTCACACCTGTAATCCCTGCATTTTGGGAGGCCGAGGCAGGTGAGGTCAGAGGTTCAAGACTAACCTGGCCAACACAGCGAAACCCTGTCTCTACTAAAACTACAAAAACTAGCTGGGTGTGGTGGCACACACCTGCAGTCCCAGGTACCCAGGAGGCTGAGGCAGGAGATCACTTAAACCCAGGAGGCAGAGGAGGTTGTAGTTACCCGAGATCACGCCACTGCACTCCAGCCTGAGCAACAGAGCAAGACTCTGTCTCAAAAGGCGGGAGCAGCAATCACAGTAGCAAAGGCAAAGTGGAAATTTGGGTGTAAACTGGGCACTCACATATTATGCTCCAAGACAGCTAATAGTGACAACTGTGGCCCCACCTACTGGCCACAGGAATTTTTCTTGTGTGATAACAAGGATGTAGATTTCCTTCTGATACAATTTATCCTTTTCTTTCATTCAGTTGGTACATTTTTTGGGGCATCTACTATGAGCTAGGTGCTAAAATAGTTGCTACCGATATAATGGTAAGCCAACACAGACCTGGTCCTTTTTTTTTTTTTTTTTTTGAGACAGGGTCTTGCTCTATTGCCCAGGCTGGAATGCAATGGCAGAATCATGGTTCACTAAAGCCTCAAATTCCTGGGCTCAAGCAATCCTCCTGCCTCAGCCTCCCCAAGTAGCTGAGAATGCAGTTGTATATCACCACACAACTAATTTTAAAATTTTTGTAGCAGCGAGGTCTTGTTAGGTTACTTGGCCTTGTCTTAAACTCCTGGCTTCAAGGGAGACTCCCCTCTGGGAACAGCTGTGAGCCACAGTGCCCAGCTCAGAAATACTTTTATGTTCCTTTTCTTCCGTTTTTTTTGAGACAGAGTTTTACTTTTGTTACCCAGACTGGAGTGCAATGGCATGATCTCGGCTCACTGCAACCTCCGCCTCCTGGGTTCAAGCAATTCTCCTGCCTCAACCTCCCGAGTAGCTTTGACTACAGGCGCGCACCACCATGCCCAGCTAATTTTTATGTTTTTAGTAGAGATGGGGTTTCACCTTGTTGACCAGGATGGTCTCGATCTCTTAACCTCGTGATCCACCCGCCTCGGCACTATAATCCCAAAGTGCTGGGATTATAGGCGTGAGCCACTGCGCCCAGCCTTCCTTTTCTTCTTAATTTCTTCATGGCAAAATTCCTCATGACCAATAAATCACTGATTGTAAACAAGCATCATGTGTAATGTGCCTTTTGCAGGAGTAGCTACGAAGTCCTGTATCCTATTTCCAAAGTATACATCCATCATTCCCTTGGGGACAAGAGATCGTGGTGTAAAGCTGGTTGATCCTGTCAACTGATCTCATAGCAGGTAAAAAACTGATACTGCAGGTCCAGTTTCAGGAGCTAACAGGAGGGGTTAGCGACACTCCAGAGAGGAATTATTTGCCGCATGTGTCATAATCAATGCAATCCTTTGATCACACTGAATTAAGTTTTTGGTTTTAAGCTTACTCTCTTTTCTCCTACGCTATTTATAAAATGCAGATATCAATGTTTGTACTTGGAGGTTTTAAAGAAGAGGCGAAAAATCGAACATACCTAGGTTTCAGGAATTAACTAAGTACCAAGAGATTCATCTTTTTTTTGAAACAGGGTCTTGTTCTGTTGCCCAGGCTGGAGTGCAATAGTGTGATCCTAACTCACTGCAGCCTTGACCCCCTGGGCTCAAAGAATCCCACCTCAGCTCCCCAAGAAGCTGGAACCACATATGCCTGCCACACCCAGCTAATTTTTAAATTTTTTGTAGATACAAGGTCTCCATATGTTGCCCAGGCTGTTCTCAAACTCCTGGGCTCAAGCAATCCTCTCACCTTGGCCTCCTAAAGTGATGGGATTATAGGCATGAGCCTTGCTTTTTCTTTTTTTTCCTTTTTTGAGAGGGAGTTTTGCTCTTGTTACCCAGGCTGGAGTGCAATGGCTTGCGATCTCGGCTCACTGAAACCTCCGCCTCCTGGGTTCAGGCAATTCTCCTGCCTCAGCCTCCTGAGTAGCTGGGATTACAGGCACGCGCCACCATGCCCAGCTAATTTTTTGTATCTTTAGTAGAGACGAGGTTTCACCATGTTGACCAGGATGGTCTCGATCTCTTGACCTCGTGATCCACCCGCCTCAGCCTCCCAAAGTGCTGGGATTACAGGCTTGAGCCACCGCGCCCGGCCGAGCCTTGCTTTTTCAATTCTGTGTCCATAAATGTATGAAGACCTTGGATACAACGTACATAGGAGAAGGCTTCCTGTTGGTAAGGAGTTTTTTAAAAAAGGAAAAGAAAAGGCATCAAGAAGCTGACATAGGTAGCAAAGAGACAGGAAAAGAGGAGTTTTAAGGTCAGTGTTTGGAGATCAGACATTTCCCCTCAAAGGAGGACAGGCCTGGCTCAGGCCTTCAGAGGCATCAAGAATAGACCCTGGCTTCAGCTGATTCAGAGATGGTCAGAGCAAAGGACACCCCACGGGGCCTTCTCAGGGCTATGTTTGGAAGCAGCTCTTGTTACCCCAAGCCTGCCTAGCATCAAACAGCCTTCCCTTTTATCCTCAAGGTGGTCAAGCATTTTCACTGTCCCAGGGAGAGAACATTCAGGGCTGTACAGAGCAAGATGTCCTTGTCATCGGGAGCAAGGACACACGTTGAGCAGAATCTGACTGATGGGTATACATTGTACTTTCTGCCGCTTCTGCAACAGAAGATGCTGGAACTGTTCAGCTAGATCCCAACAATGTGGGTGGCTGGAAGCACCCATGCAGACACAGTTTCAGAGTCCCCTAAGTGTGACTGCCCTGGGCCACCCGTATCCCCCTGCTAGGCTGAGCTGGGACATGACTGGGCTCTGCCCAGGCCGCAGGGCAGCTTAGTCGGTTACAGCCCCAGCGTCGCCGCCCCTACCAGGCCCAGGTCGATCCTCCTGTAAGTCTCCTGGCAATACTGCTCTAAAATCCCACTTACAGCCCAGTGCACGGACTCACGCCTGTAATCTCAACACTTTGGGAGGTCGAGGGGGTAGGACCGCTTGAGCTCAGGAGTTTCGAGATCAGCTTGGGCAACATAGGGTGACCCCCGTCTCTACAAAAAATAAAAATTAGACGGGTGTGGTGGCATGTACCTCTGGTCCCAGCTACGTGGGAGGCTGGGGCAGTGAGCTATGATAGCGCCATTGCACTCCAGCTTGGGCAACACAGCGAGGCTGTTTTTGAATGAATGAATAAATAAGTAAATAAAAAAATGTAATAAAATAAATAAAATAAAATCGCACTTCCCACCGGTTACACCCGGCCACGGAGGTCCCCAAGCTAGCTGCGAGGACACCCGGGAGGTCACCGCGAGTCCAGTCCGGCAACTCGCAGCGGCCCTCGCGCGCTTCCGCCGGAAGTCGGCCTCGCAGGGGCGCCTCGCTGACGTCACGAGTTCGCAGGAAGTCTGGTGGCGAGCACAGGAGGCGCGGGAGCCGAGCGCCTGGCGGTTGGCAGAGGTTGGCGGTAAGGCCGCCTCCGCGGAGCTGTCTGAAGCTTATGCTGTCCCATGACCGTCGGTCTCCTCCCCTGACCCTCCCTTACCCCCTTATGTGTGGGCCCGCTGTCCCACCCCCACCTCCCCCGAGTCCCGGGCGGCCTGTTGTCCCTTCCGAGCCTGCTGCGCTCCGCGTTCCTCTAGCAGGCTCCAGTCCTCAGGGAAAGCTCCGGCCAGGCCCGTCCAGGAGGTGCCTTGATGGGGACAGCCTCGGGAGGCCCTAGTGGGGAGGGGCAGGGAGAGAACTAAGGCTTGGCTTATTTCTTCCCAACCAGCTGTTTCTCTCAAAGTCTTTATTATTATTATTTTTGAGACGGAGTTTCGCTCTTTTTGCCCAGGCTGGAGTGCAATGGCGTGATCTCGGCCCACTGCAACCTCCGCCTTCCTTTTTCAAGCGATTCCGCCCGAGTAGCTAGGATTACAGGCGTGCGCCATCACGCCCGACTAATTTTTTTTCTATTTAATAGGGATGGGGTTTAACCATATTGGTCAGGTTGGTCACGAACTCCTGACCTCAGGTGATCCACCCGCCTGGGCCTCCCAGAGTGCTAGGATTAGAGGAGTGGGCCACCACGCCGGGCCTATTTTATTATTTTTATTTATGGGGTGCCGCTCTGTGGCCCAGGCTGGAGGGCAGTGGCAGGATCACAGCTCACTGCAGCCTGGACCTCCTGGGCTCAAGCGATCCTCACACCTCAGCCTTCCAAGTAGCTGGGACCACAGGCGCGCCACCACACCCTGCTGGTTTTTAAATTTTTATGTAGGGACAGTGGTCACACTATGTTGCCTAGGCTGGTCTCAAACTCTTGGCCTCAAGCGATCCTCCTGCCTTAGCCTCCCCAAGATTTGGGAGCAGGCCTGAGCAACTGAGCCTGTGCCATTTCTCCCAAAGTCTTACCCCTTCATGGCTGAACATCCCCTACTTCCAATTCTTTTCCACAGTGTATCTGCCTTTGACTGCTACTCTTGTCTTACGTGAGTGTTGAATTGATGTGTCTCTGTAGCCAGATCCAAGCTCCTGGAAGAACCATGTCCGGCAGCTATGGGTTGTGCCACGCGCAGAGTGCTGCCCCAGAGGAGCTGCTGTTCGAATTATCTGTGCATGTGGGGAGGAGGAATGCCAGAGCTGCTGGCTGAAAATTATCCAAGAGAGATGTAGGCTGGGCACCCTGAATCATGCTGTGAGCATCACTGCTGTTTGCTCTTAACCCTATCATGTCATGAATAGTTTCTTGTTTGGTTATCTCACTTGTATTTCCAGCCCAGAATCATATCTGCTAAGGTCAAAAGTAACCAGTTCCGGTATGTTTCTGTTTGTTTTTGAGACAGGGTCTCACGCTGTTGCCCAGGCTTGAATTCCTGTGCTCAAGCAATCCTCCCACCTCAGCCTCCTAAGTATTGGGGACCAAAGGCATGCACAACCACATCTGGCTAATTTTTGTATTTTTTGTAGAGATGGGGTCTCCCTATGTTGCCCAGGCCATTCTTGAACTCCTGGGTTCAAGTGATCCTCCCACCTCAGCCTTCCAAAGTGCTGGGATTATATGCACGAGCCACTATGGCCGGCCAGTTCCAGTACCTTTTTTTTCTTTTCTATTTTTTTTTAAACCACTACACTATGGAAAAGAATTCCAGTATCCTGTATTTTTTTTTTTTTTTTTTTTTTGAGACAAAGTCTCGCTCTGTCACACAGGCTGGAATGTGGTGGCATGATCTTGGCTCACTGCAACCTTCGCCTCACGAGTTCAAGTAGTTCTGCCTTAGCCTCCTGAGTAGCTGGGATTACAAGCTCGCGCCACCACGCCCAGCTAATTTTGTATTTTTAGTAGAGACAAGGTTTCAGGCTTGTTGGTCAGGCTTGTTTCAAACTCCTGACCTTGTGATCTGCCCGCCTTGGCCTCCTAATGTGCCACCGTGCCCAGCCCCAGTATCCAATATCTTAACACAATATCCAGTATCCAATTTCTTAACACAGACCTGTGTATTGACTCTGGTTCCAGAGGGTGATCCCTGATGGTTGTGGACAGTGTCCTGGAGGGATGCTTCTTAGGACAGGATGCCTGATTCTGGGTGCAGGGCTCCTCACTGCCTCTAGGAGATGCTTGTTCTCAAGGCATTGTCAGAGATTCTTTGGGGCACCTCTTGTATCTTTGTGAATATTTAAGGAAGTAAAAGAATGATTTGTGCCTGGAGGCAAGGAAGGCAGATACATTTTTTTTCCTCACTTTATTTTGGGTTAGCAGGTTGGAGATGTCCCAAAGGCAGGCCACAGAGTTAGATTCAACATTTTTATCTTGGGCTGGGGCCGGTGGCTCACGCCTGTAATCCCAACACTTTGGGAAGCTGAGGTAGGCAGATCACCTGAGGTCAGGAGTTTGAGACCAGCCTGGCCAATGTGGTGAAACTTCGTCTTTACTAAAAGTACAAAAATTAGCCAGATGTGGGGTGCACACTTGTAATCCCAGCTTCTAGGGAGGCTGAGGCAGGAGAATTCCTTGAACCGGGGAGGCAGAGGTTGCAGTGAGCCGAGATCATGCCACTGCACTCCAGCCTGGGCAACAAGAGTGAAACTGTTAAAAAAGATATATATCTTTTTTTTTAATTGAGACAGGGTCTCACTGTGTTTCCCAGGGTGGGAAACTCCTGAGCTCAAGTGATCTGCGCACCTTGGCCTCCCAAAGTGCTGAGAATATAGGCATGAGCCATTGCACCTAGCCCAGAATTTTATCTTGCTGGAGGGAGTTCAGGATCTTTTGGGAGGCCCCACTGAGAGGCAGCAGGCCTCTGTTTTGTGTGCCTAAGAGTTGGTGAATTGTTTGTTTTTCTGCTTTTTGCTTTGAGATGTCATTAAAATCTAGATGAATTCTGCTTTGGTAGCCTTTTGGGAGTTGACATCTGAGAATATGTGCCATGGAAGAAACCTTTCAGTAGCAGATAGTCACACTCTTTCTGTTCCTTTGTAGCCCCAGGATGGACTTTCTGGTCCTCTTCTTGTTCTACCTAGCTTCGGTGCTGATGGGTCTGGTTCTGATCTGCATCTGCTCGAAAACCCATTGCTCGAAAGGCCTGGTCAAGGGAGGAGCACAGGTGAGGATGATCCTTGGATAGCACTGGAGTTTGAATACTGTGCTAGTCTAAGAGACTCCAGGTTCACTACAGGACAAAAAAGAGATGCTAGGCTGGGTGCAGTGACTCACACCTGTAATTTCAGCTACCCAGGAAGCTGAGGCAGAAGGATCCCTTTAGCCAGGAGTTTGAAGTTGGAGTGAGCTATGATCATGCTGCTGCCCTCCAGTCTGGACTATTGAGTGAGACCCTATCTCAACAACAACAAAGATGCCATTTAACTTTATTGATTGATTGATTTCATTGATGGCAGTTGTTATGGGACATTCCACAGCCTCTGTCTGTGTGTGTGTTTTTTGTTCCTGCTGAAAGTCCTCTTGTGGTGGTGCTTTGAGAGAATAGGTTGCTTGGATTGATTTCCTCTGGATTAAATACTTGTTATTGGGCATGGATGTGAGCAGTGTCCACCTGGGGGGCTTGATGGGTGACTCTGGGGGATGTATGAGCAGAAAGGTCAGCATCAGTTAGCCCCATCCTTCAGGGATCAAAGTGACCAAAACTGGGGCAAGCAACCGATGGAAAGGCATGGTCTTGGGAGGGACCTGGGCTAATGCCCAGTGATCTGGGTGTGGACACTGGAACCTGGGATTGAACCCAGGCTGGGGAAAGAGCACCTAAACCACTTCTTTACCCATATATGGAAACAACTTACCATCACTCATATTGCCAGCTGTATGTGGAGTGTCTGATTCGTTTGGGAGAAGAAATGAGAAATGAAATTGAGTCTTTTTCTTTGCTTTTCAGATATTTTCCTATATAATTCCAGAATGTCTTCAGAGAGCAATGCACAGATTGCTTCATTACCTTTTCCATACAAGGTATTTGTATTTCAGAGTTTAAATATCCTCCTCTTTTCTGCTTTATTAGTTGTTGTGATCCTCTAGCTTCAGGAAGCTCCTTGTGGTTTCCAGCACGCTGAGGGAAAGAATGCTGGAAAGAATCATGAGTCCTGAGTTGGGAACCTCTACTCATAGTCAGTTTGCCTTTTGAGACTGAGGTTTTAACTTGTCTGCTTTTAAATAGTGATATTTAAAGATTGGGAAAATACTGACATATATTTCTGTTAAATACATGCAGAATGTTTCACAGTTTTCTTTTTTTTGAGACAGAGTCTCATTCTATTGCCCAGGCTAGAATGCAGTGGCGTGATCTCGGCTCACTGCAACCTCTGCCTCCTGGGTTCAAGTGATTCTCCTGCCTCAGCTTCCTGGTAGCTGGGACTACAGGTGTGTGCCACAAGACCCAGCTAAATTTTTGTATTTTTAGTAGAGATAGGGTTTCACCATGTTGGCCAGGATGGTCTCAATCTCTTGACCTCGTGATCTGCCTGCCTCAGCCTCCCAAAGTACTCCCAAGGTGTGAGCCACTGCACCCGGCCTCACATGGTCTTCTGTATAATTCTTACTATTATCTCAAGCCCAAAGGAAGTGGTTGGCCCTTCGTTACTTTCTTTAGTATTTTATGATTCTTCAAGTAGAAGCCCCCATGAATAAACCATATGCCTGTTTCCTTTCAGAAACCACTCCTTCATTGTCCTGCACCTGGTCCTGCAAGGGATGGTTTATACTGAGTACACCTGGGAGCTATTTGGCTACTGTCAAGAGCTAGAGTTCTCCTTGTATTACCTCCTTCTACCCTATCTGCTGCTAATTGTAAACCTGTTTTCGTTCATCCTCACTTGTGTAACCAATCCTGGTAAGTTGAGGCTCTTAGCATACAGCATGGTGACAGCTCCACTGTCTTACGAATAGTGCTGCAAACAAGGAGTGGCCTTGTACACTTTGTGTACAATTGTGCTGAATTCTACACTTTAAATGGGTGAATTAGGTTAATGAGTTATGTCTCAGTAAAGCCATTATTCAAAATGAATTGCTTGGCCGGGCATGGTGGCTCACACCTGTAATCCCAGCACTTTGGGAGGCCGAGGTGGGAGGTTCACCTGAGGTTGGGAGTTTGAGACCAGCCTGGCCAACATGGTAAAACCCCATCTCTACTAAAAAGATTAAAAAATACAAAAATTAGCCAGGCGTGGTAACACACATCTGTAATCCTAGCTACTACTCTGGAGAATTGCTTGAACTCAGGAGGTGGAGGTTACAGTGAGCGGAGATTGTTCCACTGCACTTCAGCCTGGACAACACAGTGAAACTCTGTGTCCAAAAAAAATAAAAAAGTAACTGCTTAAGATATTAAAGATAGCGGCTGGGCACAGTGGCTCAGGAATGTAATCCCAGCACTTTGGGAGGCTGAGGCAGGTGATCACCTGAGGTTAGGAGTTTGAGACCAGCCTGGCCAACATGGTGAAACCCTGTTTCTACTAAAAATACAAAAAATTGGCTGAGCATGGTGGCGCATGCCTGTAATCCCAGCTACTTGAGAGGCTGAGGCAGGAGAATTGCTTGAACCCAGGAGGCGGAGGTTGCAGTGAGCCGAGATTGTGCCATTGCACTCTAGTTTGGGCAACAAAAGTGAAACTCCATCTCAAAAAAAGATATTAAAGATTTCAGTTGTGTTTTATCAGGATGGGTTTTGTGACCATCCACTCCACCATATTACACGAAACTGACATATGTTCTTTCTTTTTCCAGGCATTATAACAAAAGCAAATGAATTATTATTTCTTCATGTTTATGAATTTGATGAAGTGATGTTTCTGAAGAACGTAAGGTGCTCTACGTGTGATTTAAGGAAACCAGCTCGATCCAAGCACTGCAGTGAGTGTGGCTCTCATGGCTCCAGCGGCACCCCCAACAGCACACGTGTGGGCTTTGTCTGTGAAAGAATGTTTCCTGAATCATAGTTCACCCCCAGACATGGTGTAGCCACTACTTATAGAGTTGAGATAATGGTTTCTTTCAGATGAGTGAGGGTCAGGGTTTGTGTTCTTGTGTAGTAGACAGTTCTCATCCCTGGGCATAACAGCCCTTCCCTTACCATAGGGCAGGACTCGCTGCCCACAAGATATTTCTGTGGGATGCTGTGTTTGCAGATTTCAATCCTGCAAAGCCTAGTCTTCTGGAAGGGCCCAAAATTCTAGACCAGTGCTGTCTAACAAAAATAGAATATGACCGGGCACAGCGGCTCATGTCTGGAATCCCAGTACTCCTAGGCTGATATCTCTTGAGCCTAGGAGTTTAAAACCAGCCTGGCACCATGGGGAAACCTCACCTTTACAAAAAACACAAAAGTTAGCGGGCATGGTGGCATGTGTCTGTAGTCCTAGATACTTGAGAGGCTGAGGTAGGAGGATCGCTTGAGCCCAGGAGATCGAGGCTGCAGTAAGCTATGATTAAATTGCTGCACTCTAGCTTCAGCAACAGAGCAAGACCCTGTCTCAAAAAGCCATGAAAAGAAACAATTTTTAAAAATATCTTTCTTTTATTTAATTCTTTTTTCTTTTTTCTGTGGGCACAAAAACAAAAAAATGTTTTTCAAAATGTAGCTGTGCTTGGAGACAGTTTTAATCAGGGTTTTATTTAACCTAGCATATGTAAAATACCATTTTAACATGTAATCAATGTAAAAAAATTCTTCATGAGATTGTTTATATTCTGCTTTTCATACTAAGCCTTTAAAATCTGGTATTTTATATTTACAGCATATCTTGATTTGGACACCAAATTTTCGTTTTAGAATTTAGATTTAATAAAATGTGTATTTAGATTTAATAAAATGTACAGTTGAAAATGTAGACTCACATATGCATCCTATATCCAGAAATTCTTAAAAATTTTCCAGTATCTGACTTTGGTGACACAAGAATCATTGTCCTTTGCCATCCATGTCTGCATTGACATAATGCCTCATCTTAATCAGAAGAATTGACTTTAAAGCAGAAACATCAGTTTTAAAATTATGTCTGTCCACGTGAAGTAAATTCACTAACTTTTGTGTTGCTTCCATATTCACACTGAATTCAAAGGAGTATTGTAGTAAAAAGCAACGGTAAATTTGTCAACATTGACAAAATGTCCTTTCCATTTTTTTTTTTTTTTTTTTTTTTTTTGAGATAGGGTTGTCACTGTGTTACCCAGGCTGGAGTGCAGTGGCGCGAGTTCACTGCAGCCTTGACCTCCCGTGCCCAAGCGATCCACCTGCCTAGCCTCTGCATACCTGGGACCACGGGTGCATGCCACCACTACCTCAGATGTTTCTTGTAGTCAGATTGCAAGTGCTCAATACCCACATTTGGCTAGTTGCTCCTGTACTGGACACTGCAGTTTCAAAAGCTTAGTTTGGAACTAAGCAGCTGCCATTTCCCCCTGATCATACGTCCTGTGGTCAGATTGTGAAAATCTCAGTAGGTGTGTGGTTTCCTTGTCTCATCAGGCCCCATCCCAGCACTTGTCCCCTCGTTTCTGTGCAGGTGTGTGTAACTGGTGTGTGCACCGTTTTGACCATCACTGTGTTTGGGTGAACAACTGCATTGGGGCCTGGAACATCAGGTACTTCCTCATCTACCTCTTGACCTTGACGGCCTCGGCTGCCACTGTCGCCATTGTGAGCACTGCTTTTCTGGTCCATTTGGTGGTGATGTCAGACCTGTACCAGGAGACTTACATTGATGACTTTGGACGCCTCCACATTATGGACACGGTCTTTCTTATTCAGGTAATTATGCTGTAGGTTTCTGACTTCAAGTTTCAGAACTGCAAAAAGGACATTTATTTTCCCAGTAAAAGCATGAAGTTAGGTGAGGCACGGTGGCTCATGCCTGTGATGCCAGCACTTTTGAAGGCCGAGGTGGGAGGATCACATGAGGCCAGGAGTTTAGGACCAGCTTGGGCAACACCCAAATGTCCATCAACTGATGAGTGAATAACTGGTCTCTTGTAGAGAACCTGTGTCTACACAAAATACAAAAATGAGCTGAGGTTGAGCACAGTGGCTCATGCCTGTAATCCTAGTACTTTGAGAGGCCAAGGCAGGCAGATTGCCTGGGCTCAGGAGTTTGAGACCAGCCTGGCCAACATGGTGAAACCCTGTCTCTGCTAAAATACTACAGATTAGCTGACTGTGGTGGCATGTGCCTGTAGTCCCAGCTACTCGGGAGGCTAAGGCACAAGAATCACTTGAAGCCAGGAGGTAGAGGTTGCAGTGAGCTGATATCTCGCCACTGCACTGCAGCCTGGGTGACAGAGCAAGACCCTGTCTCAAAAACTAACAAACGGGCCGGGCGTGGTGGCTCACGCCTGTAATCCCAGCACTTTGGGAGGCCGAGGCGGGTGGATCATGAGGTCAAGAGATCAAGACCATCCTGGTCAACATGGTGAAATCCCGTCTCTACTAAAAATACAAAAAATTAGCTGGGCATGGTGGCGCACGCCTGTAATCCCAGCTACTCGGGAGGCTGAGGCAGGAGAATTGCCTGAACCCAGAAGGCAGAGGTTGCGGTGAGCCAAGATTGTGCCATTGCACTCCAGCCTGGGTAACAAGAGCGAAACTCCATCTCAAAAAAAAAAAAACTAACAAACTAGAAGTTTTTCCTTTTTCTTTTTTCTGAGATGGAGTCTTGCTCTGTCACCCAGGCTGGAGTGCATTGGTTCAATCTCGACTCACTGCAACCTCTGCCTCCTGGGTTCAGGCAATTCTTCTGCCTCAGCCTCCCGAGTAGTTGGGACTACAGGCGTGCACCACCATGCCCAGCTAATTTTTGTATTTTTAGTAGAGATGGGTTTCCCCATATTGGCCAGGCTGGTCTTGAACTCCTGACCTCGTGATCTGCCCGCCTCGGCCTCCCAAAGTGCTGGGATTACAGGTGTGAGCCACTCTGCCCAGCCCTTAAGTTTTTTCTTTTTCTAAACTGGTATACAATTCACATATTGGGCTGGGTGTGGTGACTCGCCTGTAATCCCAGCACTTTGGGAGCCCAGGGTGGTCGGATCACCTGAGGTCAGGAGTTAGAGACCAGCCTGGCCAACGTGGTGAAACCCCGTCTCTACTAAAAACACAACAAAATTAGCCAGGCATGGTGAGGCAGGAGAATCCCTTGAACCCAGGAGGCAGAGGTTGCAGTGAGCCAAGTTCGTGCCACCACTGCACTCCAGCCTGGGCAACAAGAGCAAAACTCTGTCTCAAAAAAAAAAAATTCACATATCATAAAATTTACCCTTTAAATTATACTATTCGGTGGTATGAGTATATTCACAGAGTTATGCAACCTTTATCACTATCTAATAGAACATTTCATCATCTCCAAAAGGAGACATACCCCATTTCCTCCTCCCTCAGAACCAGGTAATCACAAATCTACTTTCTGTCTTTAGGGATTGGTGTTTTCTGGACCTTTCATATAAATGGAATTGTGCAATATATGGTCTTTTCCACTGAGTTCTTTCTTGTGACACAAGGTTTTCAGGGTTAACTCATGTTGTGGCCTGAATCTACTTTATTCTTTTTATTCTTTTTTGTTTGTTTGTTTTTGAGACAGAGTCTCCCTCTGTCACCCAGGCTAGAGTTCAGTGGCGCAATCTTGGCTCACTGCACCATCTGCCTCCCGGGTTCAAGCGATTCTCCTGCCTCAGCCTCCCAAATAGCTGGGACTACAGGCGCCTACCACCACACCCAGCTAATTTTTGTACTTTTAGGAGAGACGGGGTTTTACTGTGTTTGGCCAGCTCCCAAAGTGCTGAGATTACAAGCATGAGCCATCACGCCCTGCTCCATTTTTTTTTTTTTTTTTTTTGAGATGGAGTTTTGCTCTTGTTGCCCAGGCTGGAGGGGGCAACGGTGTGATCTTGGCTCCATGCAACCTCTGCCTCCCGGGTTCAAGTGATTCTCCTGCCTCAGTCTCCTGAGTAGCTGGAATTATAGGCATGTGCCACCATGCCTGGCTAATTTTTGTATGTTTAGCAGAGACGGGGTTTTACCCTGTAGGCCAGGCTGATTTCTAACTCCTGACCTCAAGTGATCCATCCACCTTGGCCTCCCAAAGTGCTAGGATTACAGTTGTGAACCACCGCGCCTGGTCTCACTTCATTCATTTTTTATTTTTTTTTATGACTGAATAACATTCCATTGTATGGATAGACCAAATTTTATTTATTTGTTCATCAGTTGATGGACATTTTGGTGTTTTTACTTTTCGGCTATTTTTGAATAATACTGCTATGAACATGTAAAAGTTTTTTGTATGGACATATGTTTTTACTTCTCTTAGGTAAATTCACCTAGGAGTGGAATTGCTGGGTTGTATGGTAACTTTTTGTTTTGTTTTGTTTTTTTATTTTTATTTTTTTTAACTTTATTATTATTTTTTTTAAAGACAGTGTCTTACTCTGACACCTAGACTGGAGTGCAGTGGTAGCATCACAGCTCATTATAACCTGGAACTCCTGGGCTCAAGCGCTCCCACCTTGGCCTCCCTAAGTGCTGGGATTATAGGTGTGAGCCAGCATGACTGGCCTGGAATAACTTTTGATTTTAAGTCTTTATATAATAATGACAGTTAGTCTTTTGTTATATTGGTTTTCTGTTTGTGGTTCTTTTGGATCGTGGGAATGGGGTTTTAGGTTTTTAGGGTTTTTTTGGTATAGAAAAGTTTAGACATTCTTTCTCATCAAATCTCTCTTCTTTGTAACTTCAACTAGAAAGTCTCCTCCATCAAGAGTTTTGTTAAATGTTCTCTTTTCTTGTCACTTTCAAAAATATTAAACTTTCTAAATTCTTCATTTTGCTTATTGCAAAAATAACTTGGAAAACTTTAAGCAGCCCTGTTCCTGTCGTCACACACCACTGACACAGCCAGTTTTGTTTTTACCCAAACAAGATGACAGTGTAATCCTTGCATCTCACCTTTCTCATTAGTCAATATGTTAAATCTTTTCAGAGTCAGTACATAGAAATTGACATCATTTTTAATGGCTCCTTTTTTTCCCATTGTGTGACCATCCCAGAGTTTTACCCTTCCCGATGGATGGACAGTTAACTTGTTTCTTTGCCAGGTACGGTGGCTTACACCTGTAATCCCAACAATTTGGGAGGCCAAGGTGAGAAAATCACTTGAGGCCAGGAGTTTGAAAGCAGCCTGGGCAACAAAGCAAGACTCTGTTTCTTTCTTTCTTTTTTTTTTTTTTTTAAGATGGAGTTTTGTTCTTGTTGCCCAGACTGGAGGGCAATGGCATGATCTCAGCTTACTGAAACCTCTGCCTCTCGGGTTCAAGTGATTCTGCTGCCTCAGCCTCCCCAGTAGTTGGGATTACAGGCCACCATGCCCAGCTAATTTTGTATTCCTAGTAGAGACAGGGTTTCTCCATGTTGGTCAGGCTGGTCTCAAACTCCTGACCTAAGGTGGTCCACCTGCCTCGGGCTCCCAAAGTGCTGGGATTACAGGCGTGAGCCACCATGCCCGGCTGCAAGACCCTGTTTCTACTGATTTTTAAATTTTTAATTTAAATTTAATTTTACTTTACTTTTAGAGATGGGGTTTCACCATGTTGGCCAGGCTGGTCTTGAACTCCCAACCTCGTGATCCACCCACGTCAGCCTCCCAAAGTGCTGGGATTACAGGTGTAAGCCACCACGCCTGTCCTATTTTTTATTTTTTGAGATGGAGTCTCACTGTGTTGCCTAGGCTGGAGTGCAAGTAGCACAGTCTCGGCTCATTGTAATCTTTACCGCCCAGGTTCAAGCAACTCTCCTGCCTCAGCCTCCTGAGTAACTGGGATTACAGGCATGTGCTACCACCCTTGGCTAATTTTTATATTTTTAGTAGAGAAGGCCATGTTGGCCAGGCTGGTAAACTTCTGACCTCAAGTGTTCTGCTCACCTTGGCTTCCCCAAATGCTGAGATTACAAAGGTGAGCCACCCTGCCTGCCCCTGTTTCTACTTATTAAAAAAAAAAGAAAAATCTTGTTTCTTTTGGGAAGAGGGGCTGATAAAATCAGTGATACAATGAATATCCTTGTACATCTATTTTTGGGGTTGTATTTTGTTTTAAGACATTGATCTCTTTTGTCCAGCTGGATTTTGTTTTGATGAATGAAGTCTGCATTCTTTCATAGCTAGCTAACTGGAACAGTACATTTCCTTTCCCTTCACCCTCTGTGTGACCACTTCATTCATTCCATAGGAAACTCTTGTATGTACTGGGATTATTCCTGGGCTGCTTGTCAGCTGTTTGTATTCAGTTTGTCACATTTGGACACAGGTAGGTGGGCTGAGGAAGCTGCACTGGTGGCTGGGCAGGACCAGGGTTGGCAGGTATTTACCCTCACGGATGTCACAATCCAGCACTGCTGTTTCTCTGCCCCTAGTATCTGTTCCTGACCTTTCCACGGATTGTCTTCATGCTGGGCTTTGTTGTGGTCCTGAGCTTCCTCCTGGGTGGCTACCTGTGCTTTGCTGTGTACCTGGCGGCCACCAACCAGACTACTAACGAGTGGCACAGAGGTGACAGGGCCTGGTGCTGGCGTTGTCCCCTTGTGGCCTGGTGTCCGTCAGCAGAACCCCAGATCCACCAGAACATTCACTCCCATGGGCTTTGGAGCAACCTTCAAGAGATATTTCTACCTGCCTTTCCATATCATGAGAGGAAGAAACAAGAATGACAAGTGTGTGACTGCCTTTCAGCTGTAGTTCTCATTTATTTACACATGTGGATTTGCTCATTTTCCAAGCATGGCTTGTTTTGATTTCTGCTGTGCTTATCAGTCACTTTTGGTGGGCAAGGGAGAGGGGAAAATGAGTGTTGAGTGCCTCATCTTTGCCAGTGTGGTGGGAGGAATCCCCCTTGCTTACTTTCTTTTGAAACTGGGCATCTCTGAAGTCCTAGTGTCAAGGAGATCAAGATATGATTTCTCAGAGGTTCCAGGTGGCGCTGAGACCTTGGCATCTGTAAACTCTGGGCATGTGGACAGGAGGGGCTTGTGGCCATGTCTCTGACTTGTCTCTGAAGTACAGGAGGGTCTCATTGACTCAGTGTCTGCACATTGTGCCTAGCTGTACTCTCTTTTATGCCTTCTCTATTCGCCTGTCTTACCCCAAAGGATTTTCATCTCAACAGCAGAGTGTCCTCACCCAGGCCTGCCTTCCGGCCAGTATGGCTTTGTACACCAGGCACATTCCTGCATGCGTGGCCTCCTGCCTGCCCTCCTCTGGCCATATTCAAGTCCTTTTTTGCCCAGTTTAAAAATTGTGAAAGTTAACTGCCACCTAGTTCAGAGAGGAGAGATGATAGCCAGAAAAGGGGTCTTAGTGCAGAAGGTCTTTTGAGTGGGAGGTTACTGAGAACCAGCTTGGTCGGGAGACCCCCATCCAGGCGGGCTGAAGGTATTTGAGAGGCAGACAGTCAGATAGCACTACAGAGTGGATCTGTCCGAGGCGAGAGCCTACGGGGCTGACAGCTCTCCAGACTGAGGACTCCTAGCAGATTTCATCTACGTATTTGCTCTTTGACAGGTGACTCTCATTAATACGCAAGTGTTCTACATACATAACTCAAGAATATACCAAATACGCAGCTGTTACCTGCCTACCACTAATTACAAACCGAAAGTATCTTCCACATGGGAACCATGGGGCAGGGTAAACTTAATGTTCTTCAACAGGAGGGCTCTGAGGAGCAGGGAGCAGGTGTTCTGCACCTGCTAGGCCAAGAAACCGTCAGCCAGAGAGGTCAGGAAGTGGGAGTCAGGGGCAAGGGGCCTTCCAGGCATCCTCCCCCGTAGCTCCCCCACCTGAGAACAGATGGAAATTTGAAGACCGGTAGCTGGGGCGGCCAGGGAACCCAAGTCCGCTGGGTTAAGCCAAAGCCGGGCACTACCCCGCATCCTTGCTGGTGGTGGAAAGCACGGTGAAATTAACCAGCGGCGGCTCTGAACGCGACGCAGAGCCCGCGAGGGAACCTGGGCAAGGACAGAGCGGGCTTGCCTCGGCGGTTGGGCGGATTCCGAAGGCGAGGGCGGGCTTGGGGCCTGGGGGCGGGGTCCACCTGTGGCCGCGACGCGCCCTTCATCGCTAGCGCCGCCAGGGGGCGCCATCCGGAGAGCGCTCCTGGGCCGGGCTTGTGCTTGGCCCCTGCGGGCCGCCGTCTCCGCGCCCGTCATTCGGCCGTCTTTCGGCTACGCGGCGGCGGCTCCCAGCGGCGCCGCAGTCGGACCTTCGGGTGTCCGCTTGCCGGCGGCGGCGGCGGCGGCGGCGGCGGCAGCGGCGGCGGCGGCAGCGGCGAAGATGGCGCCCTGAGCAGGGAGGGAGCGGGGAGCAGGTAGCGGCAGGTGGGCCAGCGGGCGGGTGCCGCGGCCCAGGCCCGGGGTCGGGGCGGAGGCTTGGGTTGCGCCTCTTTGTCTCCACGGGCAGCGGCGCAACCCCGGGCCCCGGGCGGAAGTGAGACGCGCTCGGCGCGGGGGCCGTGGCGACCGCACCATGAGCGACATCCGCCACTCGCTGCTGCGCCGCGACGCGCTGAGCGCCGCCAAGGAGGTGCTGTATCACTTGGACATCTACTTCAGCAGCCAGCTGCAGAGCGCGCCACTGCCCATCGTGGACAAGGGCCCCGTGGAGCTGCTGGAGGAGTTCGTGTTCCAGGTGCCCAAGGAGCGCAGTGCGCAGCCTAAGGTGCGGCCCGGGACGGTCGGGTGCCTGGGCCCCGCAGGCAGGCTGGAGGGCCCTTTCCCCGGCGATTAAGGGCTGTGTCAAGCTCCGGGCGTCCCGCGTCCAGGAGACCCGCGCTCACGCTCGGCCTCGCTCCCGCCGCAGCCCCCAACCCCTCTCCGGGTCCTGCAGTGTGGCTCAGCTGCCTGTCCACTCTGCGAGGCGTGTGACAGCCGAGTCTCGGTGTTAAGGGGACAAATTCTGGCAACTGCCCGCTCGCTAGAGGTCTGCTGGGCTGTTACCGGGAGGCTCAAGCCGTTGTGGGTCATCCTGAGCCCTCCAGGAGGATGGATAAATGATCTGTATGGCTTTCTCCTTACATCTTTTCTTGTCTCTCTGTGTGTCTGTCTCTCTCTCTCCCCCCCCTCCCTCCCTCCCTCTCTCTCTCCCCCCCTCCCTCCCTCCCTCTCTCTCTCCCCCCCCTCCCTCCCTCTCTCTCTCTCTCCCCCCTCCCTCCCTCCCTCTCTCCCCCCTCCCTCCCTCTCTCCCCCCTCCCTCCCTCTCTCTCTCTCCCCCTCCCCTCCCTCCCCCCTCCCTCCCTCCCTCTCTCTCCCTCCCTCCCTCCCTCTCTCTCTCTCGTTTTTTTTTTTTGAGATGAGGTCTCACTCTGTTGCCTGGGCTGGAGGTACAGTGGTGCAATCGCAGCTCACTACAACTTTCAACTCCCGGGGTCCAGAAATCCTCCCGCCTCAGCTAGCTTCCTGAGTAGCTGGGACTACAGGCATGCACCCCCATGTCCAGCTAATTTTTGAATGTTTTGTAGACATGGGGCCTCCCTGTGTTACCCAGGCTGGTCTCAGACTCCTGGGGTCTCAGACTCTGGGCTCTCAACCCTGGGATTAAATTTGGAATTACAGGCGTGAGCTACAACGCCAGGTCTGCATGACTTTTGTCTAAGATTAACAGCAAAGATCTACTCCCTGAGACCTGAGCTTCATGAAGGGTGAAAAATTCTGCGGGGGTGGGGGGATACTGTTATTACCTGTTTTCTTTTTTTTTTTTGAGACGGAGTCTCCCTCTGTCACCTGATGGGAGTGCAGCAGGTGTGATCTCGGCTGACTGCAACCTCTTGTCTACCAGGTTCAAGCAGTTCTCCTGTCTCAGCCTCCCGAGTAGCTGGGATCACAGGTGTCTGCCACTATGCCCAGCTAACTTTTTGTACTTTTAGTAAAGATGGGGTTTCACCATGTTGGCCATGCTGGTCGAACTCCTTACCTTATGATTCGCCCATCTCTGCCTCCCAAAGTGCTGGGATTCAGGTGTGAGCCACCGCATGTGGCCTATTTCCTGTTTTCTTACTATATGACTTAATAAGTACGTTACAGCCACATTTCTTAACGTTTTTCCTGGATTTGTTTTGCAGAGACTGAATTCACTGCAGGAGCTTCAACTTCTTGAAATCATGTGCAATTATTTCCAGGAGCAAACCAAGGACTCAGTTCGGCAGATTATTTTTTCATCCCTTTTCAGCCCTCAAGGGAACAAAGCCGATGACAGCCGGATGAGTTTGTTGGGAAAGTTGGTCTCCATGGCGGTCGCTGTGTGTCGAATCCCGGTGTTGGAGTGTGCCGCCTCCTGGCTGCAGGTACTGCTCGAGAGAGAGCCTTGGCCTGGCTGGGTTGCTCACGCCTGTAATCCCAGCACTTTGGGAGGCTGAGGCAGGCGGATCACTTGCAGTCAGGGATTCGAGACCAGCCTTACCAACATGTTGAAACCGTGTCTCTACTAAAAATACAGAATTAGCCGAGCTTGGTGGTGCATGCCTGTAATCCCAGCTATTTAGGAGGCTAAGGCAGGAGAATCACTTGAACCTGGGAGGTAGAGGTTACAGTGAGCCAAGATGATGCCATTGCACTCTAGCCAGGGTGACAAAATAAGACTCCGTCTCAAAAAAAAAAAAAAGCTCGCGTCCCCATGTCCCTCTCTGAAGAGGAGTTTGCTGTTCTGAATTCTCACTTAATTGGATTTCTGCAGTGGTCTTTTCTCTTAATTGCCGTTCTTTTAGACCATGCCCGGTGGTTCACACCTGTAATCTTAGCACTTTGGGAGGTTGGCGGGGGGCAGATCACTTGAGGTCAGGAGTTCGAGACCAGCCTGGCCAACGTGGTAAAATCCCATCTCTACTAAAAATACAGAAATTAGCCATGTGTATGGTCCCAACCACATAGGAGGTTGAGGCAGGAGAATTGTGTAAACCTGGGAGGTGGAGGTTGCCATGAGCTAAAATCGCACCACTGCACTCTCCAGCCTGGCTGACAGAATGAGACTAGGTCTCAGAAAAATATATACATTTTTTTAAATGAGGGTGTGTTTCTTTCTTTCTTTTCTTTTTTTTTTTTGCCGACAGGATTTCAGTCTGTCACCCAGGGTAGAGTGCAATGGCTCTATCTTAGCTCGCTACAACCTCCGCCTCCTGAGCTCAAGCCATCCTTCTACCTCAGCCCCCTGAGTAGCCGGGACCACAGGCACGCAACACCATGCCTGGCTAATTTGTGTATTTTTTGTAGAGAGAGTTTCACCATGTTGTCCAGACTGATTATGAACTCCTGAGGTCAAATGATCCTCCTAGTCTCCCAGAGTGCTGGGATTATAGACATGAACCATCCTGTCCAGCCTAAGAACAGGATTTTTTTTTTTGAGACGGAGTTTCGCTCTTGTTACCCAGGCTGGAGTGCAATGGCTTGTGATCTCGGCTCCCCACAATCTCCGCCTCCTGGGTTCAGGCAATTTTCCTGCCTCAGCCTCCTGAGTAGCTGGGATTACAGGCACACGCCACCATGCCCAGCTAATATTTTGTATTTTTAGTAGAGATGGGGTTTCACCATGTTGACCAGGATGGTCTCGATCTCTTGACCTCATGATCCACCTGCCTCGGCCTCCCAAAGTGCTGGGATTACAGGCTTGAGCCACTGCACCCGGCCAAGAACAGGATTTTAAGAGTAATTTAGCGAGTACTGCTGTGAACCACCATTTTCATCATTTGATAGTTCACAGACTCTCCTGAATCTCTTCAATGTGATAGCAACTGTTAATTTTTACCTGTGGCGTTTCATCTGGCATCCTGTAGGATTACAAAAGTTGTCGTTTCCTCACCTGAAAGCAGGTGATGTTTCCTAGGTAAACTGTAAAGCAAGAGTTGACAGCCTCCATGCGGTGGCTCACGCCTACAGTCCCAGCACTTTGGGAGGCCAAGGTGGGCAAATCATCTGAGGTCAGGAGTTCAAGACCAGCCTGACCAACATGGAGAATCCCCATCTCTACTAAAAATACAAAATTAGCCAGGCGTGGTGGTGGGGGTGGGCACCTGTAATTCCAGCTACTCTGGAGGCTGAGACAGGAGAATCACTTGAACCTGGGAAGCAGAGGTTGCAGTGAGCCAAGATCCCATCACTGTGATCCAGCAACAAGAGCGAAACTCCGAAACGCTATCTCAAAAAAAAAAAAAAAAGTTGGTAATGTTTTATCTAAAGGGCGAGATAGTGAAATATCTTAGGCTTTGTGGGTCATGTAGTCTCTTTCACAGCTGCTCACCTCTGCCCTTCTAGCACAAGAACAGCTTTAGGCAGTAGGCAAATGAATAAGCATGATCATGTCTCAGTGGAATTTTGTTTACAAGAACAGGTGGGACAGATTTGGTCTGTGGACTTTTTGCGTGTGTGTGAAATGTTCTTGCTCTGTTGCTCATGCTGGAGTGCAGTGGTGTGACCTTGGGGCTCGCTGCAACCTCACCCTCCCCAGGCTCAAGTGATCTTCCTACCTCAGTCTCCTGAGTAGCTGGGACTACAGGTGTGTGCCACAACGCCCGGCTACATTTTTAATTTGTTACAGAGATAGATTTTTGCTATTTTACTCAGGCTGGTCTGGAACCCCTGGGCTCGAGTGATCCTCCTGCCTTGGCCTCCCAAAGTGTTGGGATGATAGGCATGAGCCATAATACCAGCCTGGTCAGTGGCTTTAGATTGCCCACCACTGCTTCAGAGTAAGCCTTTATTATCCTTTGTTTTTTGAGATGGAGTTTTGCTCTTCCTGCCGAGGCTGGAGTGCAGTGGCCTGATCTCGGCTTACTGCAACCTCCCCCACCTGGCTTCAAGCGATTCCCATGCCTTAGCTTCCCAAGTAGCTGGGATTACAGGCATGCACCACCATGCCTAGCTAATTTTGCATTTTTAGTAGAGACAGGGTTTCTCCATGTTGGCCAGGCTGGTCTCGAACTCCTGACCTCAGGTGATCCTCCCGCCTTGGCTTCTCAAAGGGCTAGGATTACCGACATGAACCACTGTGTCCAGCCACATTAACATCTTTTTCCATCTTGGAAGTGGTTCTGCCAGTTCTGGTGGGGGACACCTCGTATGCATAGTTGCTAGTCTGCTCACAACACCTGTAGTGACGTGAACTGTGGCTTCTTTCCAGCGGACGCCCGTGCTCTACTGTGTGAGGTTAGCCAAGGCCCTCGTGGATGACTACTGCTGTTTGGTGCCAGGATCCATTCAGACGCTGAAGCAGATATTCAGTGCCAGCCCGAGATTCTGCTGCCAGTTCATCACCTCTGTTACCGCCCTCTATGACCTGTCGTCAGGTAAACTTTAAACAGGTTATTTCTGTGAAAGAAGCTTCAGCTCATGGCCTCAGTTTTATTTTCTGCTGAATAGCCAGGTGACGCATCTAGTAAATGCTTTGGCCATTTTGTTTCTGAAATGAGTAGTTTTATTTTTATTATTTTTTGAGATGGTGCTTGTCTCCCAGGCTGGAGTGCAGTGGCGTAATCTCGGGTCCCTGCAACCTCTGCCTCCAGGGTTCAAGCAATTCTCCTGCCTTACCCTCTGAGTAGCTAGGACTACAGACATGTACCACTACACCTTGCTAATTTTTAAAAATATTTTTAATAGAGACGGGGTTTCACTATGTTGGCCAGGCTGATCTGGAATAGCCTGGCCTCCCAAAGTGCTGGGATTACAGGCATGAGTCACTGTGACCAGCCGAGTTTTTATTTTTTTGAGACAGGGTTTCACTCTGTCACCCAGGCTGGAGTGCAGAGGCGCAATCCCAGCTCACTGCAATCTCTGCCCCCAAGGCTCAAGTGATTCTCCCACCTCAGCCTCCCAAGTAGTTGGGACTACAGTTGCGTGCCACCATACCTGGCTAATTTTTGTATTTTCTGTAGAGATGGGGTTTTGCCATGTTGTTCAAGCTGGTCTTGAAGCCTGAACTCAAGCAATTCTCCCTCAGCCTCCTGATTAGTCAGGACCACAGGTTTGCAACCATCATGCCTGGCTAATTTTTTATATTTTTATGGAGATGCAGTTTCACCATGTTGTCCAGAGTGGTTTTAAACTCCTGGACTCAAGCAATCCACCTGCCTTGGCCTCCTAAAGTGTTGGCATTACAGGTGTGAGCCTTTGCACCCAGCTCAAAATGTGTGTGTGTGTGTGTGTGTGTGTGTGGTTTTTTTTTTTTTTTGAGGTGGAGTCTTGCACTGTCACCTGGACTGTAGTGCAGTGGTGCAATCTCAGCTCACTACAATCTCCGCCTCCTGGGTTCAAGCAGTTCTCCTGCCTCAGCCTCCTGAGTAGCTGGGACTACAGTCGTGCGTCACCATGCTCAGCTAATTTTTTTTGCATTTTTAGTAGAGACAGGGTTTCACCATGTTGGCCAGGATGGTTTCGATCTGACCTCATAATCCACCTGCCTCAGCCTCCCAAAGTGCTGGAATTACAGGCGTGAGCCACCACGCCTGGCCATGTGTGTTTTTAATTTAGGCCAAAAGCTCAAGTTGTGGGCCACCTGGACGTGTGCAGTTGGCTAAGAGGGAACTATTCTTAGTGATACCTATTTGCCTCAGGTGCAGTGGTCCAAGTGGCAGACAGCCCAGAAAGCGAGGGTCTGATGTCTTGTGAGGTGTGACCCACTCCCTGGACATGTGACTGATTTTTCATCATTCCCCTAGTTTCTTTAATTTTTTAATTTTTTTGGATACAGAGTCTTGCTCTGTTGCACAGGCTGCTGGAATACAGTGGTGTAGTCATAGCTCACCGTAGCCTCCAACTCTTGGGCTTAAGTGATCCTCCCACCTCAGCCTCCCAGGTGGCTGGGACTCTAGGCACACACCAGCATGCCCAGCTACCAAAACCTGCTTTTCTGCTGCTGTTTTGGGTTCCTCCTTCTCTGCCCTTGGCTCTTGCTGCTCACAGGCTGACAAATAGTGTCTTTCTCTTCATGGTCTGACAGCCAGACCAGCAGTTTGTAAGCCTTCAGCATCTGTTGTTTTTATTTAGTCCAGTGTTGGTCTCCCGCCAGCCTCCTGATCATTTTTTAGCCTTTTATCTGTTACCCTTTTTTTTTTTTTTTTTTTTTTTAATCTTGAGGAATCTCACTCTGTTGCCCAGGCTGGAATGCAGTGGACAATCTTGACTCACCACAGCCTCTGCCTCCTGGATTCAAGTAGCTGGGATTATAGGTGTGCGCCACTACACCTGGCTGATTTTTGTACTTTTAGTAGTGATGGGGTTTCACCATGTTGGCCAGGCTGGTCTTGAACTCCTGACCTCAGGTGATCCACCCACCTTGGCCTCCCAAAGTGCTGGGAGTGCAGGTGTGAGCCACCGAGCCCGGCCACCTTTTTTTGTTGTTGTTTGGCATTTTAGTTTTCTTGAGAAACTTTGTGTGGAAATATTGTGAATATGCAAGCATGTGCCATATTCATATGCTAATTTCCTACTCCTTTTCATAGCAGTTTGCCTGCGGAATGGGAGGCAGGCCTTGTGGAGCAGTGCCACCTGCCACAGTGGGGTTTCCCTTAGTTCTCTCCTCCAAAGGCTTCCTAGGAGCTGTTAACAGCTAGGAGCGGCATTTAGGCCTTTCATCTTCCAATAGGAAAGATTTCACTGAACCCAGCTATGGTATCATAGTTACTGCCTCTTTTTTTTTTTTTTGAGACTGAGCCTCACTCTGTCACCTAGGCTGGTGTGCAGTGATGTGATCTCAGCTCATTGCAGCTTCTGCCTTCCGGGTTCAAGAGGTTCTCCTGCCTCCACCTCCCAAGTAGCTGGGGCTACAGGTGTGCGCCACCACGTCTGGCTAATATTTATATTTTTAGTGGAGTCGGGGTTTCACCCTGTTGACCAGGCTGGTCTCAAACTCCTGACCTCAAGTGATCTCTCTGCCTCGGCCTCCCAGAGTGCTGGGATTATAAATGTGAGCCACCGAATCAAACCTGCCTTTTAAGCCATTGGTTATTCCAGGCCATTGAATACAGAAATTGGCCTTACCATTGGGAAGGGATGAGTTACCATATGGAACAGGAAATAATATTCAGAAATAGCACTGACACACCAGAGCAGAGACACAGTGTTTTTCTCATAAGCCAGTGTGACAGTTGAGATGTTGGTGATTTCTCAAGTCACCGCCACACAGCAGTGGCCCTGGAAGTTGCCATCAGAATTGTGATTGAAGCCACTCTTGGGCACTTCTGGTAACAGGAGAGCATTCTTGGGGAGCCTGTGTCTTCAAAACCACAAAAAGGAAGAAACCCACATAATAATATCTCCTCTTCCTGAATGGTGCTGAGAATATGGGACTCTAAAGCGGGGGGTGGAGACTGAGGACTCACAAAGTGCACATTCTGATGTGTGCTGAGGGTACACCTGCACAGGTGCGTGCGCGCACCACACACACGCGCGCACACACACACACACACATACACACACTGCCTACAGGCTCGTGGAGATGCCTCAGCTCATAGCTGAGGGGGGCAGGGATACACTAGTGAGGTAGTAGGACCCTGGCATTGCCCAGACAGAAACATCTCCATGGAATCAATAGGCTGCACACATGGCCACGCACCGTTGCTCATGCCTGAAATCCCAGCACTTGGGAGGCTGAGGCAGGTGGGTCACCTGAGGTCAGGAGTTCAAGACCAGCCTGGTCAACATGGCAAAACCCTGTCTCTACTAAAAATACAAAAATTAGCTGGGCGTGGTGGCACGCACCTGAAGTCCCAGCTACTCAGGAGGCTGAGGCAGGAGAATCACTTGAACCTGGAAGGCATAGGTTGCAGTGAGCCAAGATCACGTCACTGTACTCCAGCCTGGGAGAAAAAAAAAAACACCACGCACACAGGACAGCAGCTGCTCCCTGATGTAGCCATCGTCTCACTGCAGAGGTGACTGGGACAGTTCATACTCCAACCATTGGCAGGAATCATGTCAGATGGGGGGGCACGGCTCGAGAGAAAGGAGGCTGAAGGCCCACTCCTGTGCACACAGTCAGTCTAAGGGTGTTGTACACCAAGCCCCGGATTTGCCGTGTAGCCTCGCCAGGCTGCTGAGGTCAGATCTGGGCCATATGCTGTGGTTTTGTTTTGTTTTCTGAGACAGGATCTGACTCTTTTGCTCAGGCTGTTGTACAATGGGACATCCACAGCTAACTGAAACCTAGACCTCCCAGGCTCAAGTGATCTTCCTACCTCAGCCTCCTGAATAGCTGGCAATATAGGTGTGCACCACCACTCCTGGCTGATTTTTAAGAATTTTTGTAGATATTGGGTCTCACTATGTTTCCAGGGCTGATTTTGAACCCCTGAACTCAAGTGAGCCTCTTGCCTTGGCCTCCCAAAGTGCTGGGATTTAGGTATGAGCCTGGGATACATAGTTTTGATGAGTCCTGAGAAATCACTTGATGTGACTGTGCCTCAGTTTCCTTGTCCTTTGTATGAGACAATAGCTGGGGTTTGGAGGGTTAAACGAGTTTGTCTGTGTGAAGGATTGAGACCTGTGCCAGGCTCATAGGAAGCCCAGAGTAAGTGTCACCATCTGTTCTCTGTTGTGGCCAAGAGCCTGCCAGGTCTCAGGGATCACATCTCTGAGGGTTGCTTAGATGAGGGTTCCAGATTTGGGGTTGGGACAGCCCTTGGCAGCTGACAAATGACTGACAGGACTCTGAGCTCCCTGAAGGCCACCATTGCTGTGCTGTCACTGTCCCATACAGGAGACACTGAGCACAGGGAGGACATCTACTCAGGAGGGAAGCGGTGATGTGTGGCAGTGTGGGATATAAAAAGTGTGGAATTTTATTTAAATTAACATACAGGAGGAAATTTCTCCAAAGCATGAAGTTCCAGGGAATTGTAGAGTTAGGTATTTCTGGAACCCCTCCCTTGCCCCAGGGTACTGGGCACTGGGATATAACATTGACTAAGACGAGAGTCCCAGTCTGCGTGGAGTGGACGTTGTAGGAAAGGAGACAGAAAATAGCTAAGCCCGGAGGCGTGATCGGACCATCAGGCAGGCAGTGCCATGAGCCCTGGAGCCCGGCTTCCTTCTCTCCAGTTCCCGCCCCTGTCCTGGAGGCCAAGAGCACTTCTGACCTAATGGTCTTTGTTTGCAGATGACCTCATCCCACCTATGGACTTGCTTGAAATGATTGTCAACTGGATTTTTGAGGACCCAAGGTTGATTCTCATCACTTTTTTAAATACTCCGATTGCAGCCAATCTGCCAATAGGATTCTTAGAGCTCACCCCGCTCGTTGGATTGATCCGCTGGTGCGTGAAGGCCCCCCTGGCTTATAAAAGGAAAAAGAAGCCCCCTTTAGCCAATGGCCACGTCAGCAACAAAGTCGCAAAGGACCCAGGCGTGGGGATGGACAGAGACTCCCACCTCTTGTACTCGAAACTCCACCTCAGTGTCCTGCAGGTCCTCATGACGCTGCAGCTGCACCTGACTGAGAAGAATCTTTACGGGCGCCTGGGCCTGATCCTCTTCGACCACATGGTCCCGCTGGTCGAGGAGATCAACAGGTTGGCAGATGAACTGAACCCTCTCAATGCCTCCCAGGAGATCGAGCTCTCGCTGGACCGGCTGGCGCAGGCTCTGCAGGTGGCTATGGCCTCAGGAGCTCTGCTGTGCACGAGAGGTGGGTGCCTCCCTGGCCCAGGCCTCCACCGCCCCGCAGAAGGAAAAAAGGGCTCCTGGACAGACACTGTTTTGCTTCATTTAGGACTTCTTTTCATCCTAGTGAACAGCGGAGGAAGGGGCCCCAGCCGTGGCCCTGGCACTCCACTCTCCTTGCTCACCCCGGCAGGGTCCTAATATACCCCAGATGGGAGGGTTCACTGTTGCCCAGGACTGGGGACTCCTTGAGAGCCTGGATAGCTTTCCTTCCAGAGAACCCTTTTTCTTTTTAATTTTATTTTATTTTAATTTATTTATTATTATTTGAGATGGAGTCTTACTCTGTTATCCGGGCTGGAGTGCAGTGGCGTGATCTCAGCTCAGTGCAACCTCCATCTCCTGGGTTAAGCAATGCTCCTGCCTCAGCCTCCCGAGTATCTGGGACTACAAGTGCCCGCCACCACACCTAGCTAATTTTTGTATTTTTAGTAGAGACGGTTTCACTGAGTTGGCCAGGATTGTCTTGAATTCCTGACCTCGTGATCCACCCACCTCAGCCTCCCAAAGTGCTGGGATTACAAGCGTGAGCCACGTCACCCAGTCCCATTTTTCTTTTTCTATGCCCTTTTTAAGTTTCATTTCTCTTTATTTTTATGAGACAGGGTCTCTCAGTATGTCACCCAGGCTGGAGTGCAGTGGCGTGATCGTAACTCACCATAGCCTCCAACTCCTGGGCTCAAATAATCCTCCTGCCTCAGTCACAGAGTAGCTGGGACTACAAGTGTGTGCCACCACACCTAGCTAATTTTTTTTTTTTGAGACAAAGTTTTACTCTTGTTGCCCAGACTAGAGTGCAGTTGCACCATCTCAGTTCACCGTGACCTCTTCCTCCCGGATTCAAGCAATTTTTCTGTCTCAGCCCCCACGAGTAGCTAGGATTACAGGCACACACCATCATGCCCAGCTAGTTTTTGTATTTTTAGTAGAGATGGGATTATACTATGTTGGCTAGGCTGGTCTAGAACTCCTAACCTTGTGATCCACCTTCCTCAGCCTCCCAAAGTGCTGGGATTACAGGTGTGAGCCACTGTGCCCAGCTCCCCCCTCTTTTTTTTTTTTTTTTTTTGACAGTCTTGCTCTGTTGCCCAGGCTGGAGTGCAGTGGCACAGTCTCGGTTCACTGCAACCTCTGCCTCCCAGGTTCAAGTAGTTCTCTGCCTCAGCCTCCCAAGTAGCTGGGATTACAGGTGCCTGCCAGCATACCCTGCTAATTTTTGTATTTTTAGTAGTCATGAGCTTTCACCATCTTGGTCAGGCTGGTCTTGAACTCCTGACCTTGTGATCCACCTGCCTCAGCCTCCCGGAGTGCTGGGATTACAGGAGTGAACGACCATGCCCAGCCTCCAGCTAATTTAAAAAAATTTTTTTTGTAGAGACAGGGTCTCACCATCTTCTCCAGGCTGGTTTCAAACTCTTGAGCTCAAGCAGTCCTCTCACCTCAGCCTCCCAAAGTATGAGGATTACAGGTGTGAGCCACCACACCTGTGCTTGTCCTTTTTTTAATTGAGGCATAATTTATGTACAATAAAATAATGTGGTTTAAGGGCAGGATTTGATGAGTTTTGACTAATGTTTACACTCATGCAGCCACTTCCCAGTTGATAACACAAAACATTCCCACTGCTGGTAGGTTTTTTGGTCTTTATTTTAAAGATGAGATCTTGCTCTGTCACCCAGGCTGGAGGGCAATGGCACGATCATAGCTCACTGCAGCCTCGACCTCCTGGGCTAAAGCCGTCCTCTCACCTCAGCCTCCTGAGTAGCTAAGACTACAAGCACATATTACCACACCTTGCTAATTTTTAAATTTTTTGTAAAAATGAAGTCTCACTATGTTGCTCAAGCTGGTCTCAACCTCCTGGGCTCAAGTGATCCTCCTGCCTTGGCCTCCCAAAGTATTGGCATTATAGGCAGGAGCCACTGCGCCAGGCCTCATAGCCTATTTTGAGGGTTCCTTAATTCTGCATTTCAGTGCTTGGACTCTCCTTGGAGAATGATATGGTGTTAATAAGGCGCTTGGGTTTGCTTTTTAACAACTGATTCACTAAAAAGGGTTGCCTCTGGTGCCAAGGGATGGTCCTGGGTTTCTCATGTTGTTGTTTCTCTTAGAATGCCTTGGGTGCCTGATTGCCCAGAGAGAGCCCTGCCTCTGGGCTTTTTCCAGCCATCTGACAAACTGCCAGCAGGGCTGCCTCCTTTCTTAAGTGTCATTTTTTGTTTGGGGATTTTTTTGGTTTGTTTTGTTTTCTTTTTTGAGACAGAGTCTTGCTCTGTTCACCAGGCTGCTGGAGTGCAATGGCGTGATCTTAGCTCACCCCAATGTCTGCCTCCCGGGTTCAGGTGATTCTCCTGCCTCAGCCTCCTGTGTAGCTGGTATTACAGGCTAATTTTTGTATTTTTAGTAGAGACAGGGTTTTACCATGTTGGTCAGGCTGGTCTCAAACTCCTGACCTTGTGATCTGCCTGCCTTGGCCTCCCAAAGTACTGGGATTACAGGCTGACCCACTGCACACAACCTTGGGGGATGGGTTTTTTAAAGCAAAAATTGAAGACAAGGAAAACTCAGATTCTTTTTTTTTTTTTTTTTTTTTGAGACTAGGTCTTGCTCTGTTGCCCAGACTGGAGTGCAGTGGCTCAATCTTGGCTCATTGGAACCTCCTGCTCCCGAGTTTATGCGATTTTCCTGCCTCAGCCTCCTGAGTAGCTGTAATCACAGGCACCCACCACCATGCCCAGCTAATTTTTGTATTTTTGGTATAGATGGGGTTTACCACGTTGGACACAGGCTGGTCTCAAACTCCTGACCTCAGGTGATCCACCCGGCTCAGCCTCCCAAAGTGCTGGGATTACAGGCATGAGCCACCACGCCCGGCTAGAACTCAGTTTCCAAACTCTAGGAAAATGTAGTGTGAAGCACTCCTGCTGTCTTGCTGGCATCCTTGAATATCAGTGTATATTTCACCATGTTGTCTTCAGTATGTTTGTTAATCTTGTATCTCCTTAATTGCAGATGACCTGAGAACCTTGTGCTCCAGGCTGCCCCATAATAAGTAAGTATCTTCCAGACTTCTAGCTGGGCCTGCTTGCTGGGGCAGGGTGGGGGGAGGCGAGGCAGGGCGGACCCCTTTGTCCTGGGTTCTTTGGGGAGAGCCCGGAAAGATCCTGATGATAAGTGGGGCATGGATACGACCAGATAATGAACGTGAACAGAACTCAAGTAGAAAGTAAACCTGAAAAACGGTCATTTTGCTGGGAGTCGGTGAACGAAGCCAGAGCCGGCTCCAGATCATGAAAATCTCCCTAGTGAGCGTGCAGAGGGCCCTCTGTCGGTGACATTGTGAACTGCACAGCCCTTTGGGAATTCAGCAAAGCCAGGGCTCTAGAGCCACTGTACTTTTAGGCCGGCTGCCAGCGCTTGGCCATTGGGTAGCATGGACTTGGGTTCCAAGCGTGGCCCTGTCTGGGATTGGCTGTGACGCTTGGGAATTCTCTTGACCTGTCTTTATGCGTCAGCTTAACCCCTTGTAAAATATTCCGACTCAGGGTGGTACTGAGGATAAGAGGCAATGGTGTTTGTGAATTTCTTATCTGACTCCTTGCCACGTGGAGACCTCCACAAATGCAGTTCATTGTTGGGTGAAAAGTAGGAGCTGTGGTCAGATTCTGCTGAGAATCTTGACCTTGTCACTTCCACAAATCCATATGCCCTTGGGTAACTTCCCAGCCATCTGCCTCAAGTCCTTATCTATAAAATCAGAAAACCATGGGACTCACCTAATATCCCTCTTGCTTCCCCTAACTTCACACTGTAAGGTTTTTGTGAGGATTAACTGCGTAAAAACAGGCCAGGGCTGAGTGCAGTAACCTAACACTTATAATCCCAGCACTTTGGGAGGCCGAGATGGGTGGATCACCTGAGGTCAGGAGTTCAAGACCAGCCTGGCCAACATGGTAAAACCCCATTTCTACTAAAAATACAAAAATTAACCGGGTGTGATGGTGCATGCCTGTAATCCCAGCTACTTGGGAGGCTGAGGCAGGAGAATTGCTTGAACTCAGGAGGCAGAGACTGCAGTGAGCTGAGATTAGGCCATGGCACTCCAGCCTGGGCAACAAGAGTGAAACTCCATCTCAAAAAAAAAGAGGCCGAACTCGGTGGCTCATGCCTGTAATCCCAGCACTTTGGGAGGCTGAGGCAGGCGGATCACGAGGTCAAGAGATCGAGACCATCCTGGCCAACATAGTGAAACCCCATCTCTACCAAAAATTAGCTGGGTATGGTGGCATGTGCCTGTAGTCCCAGCTACTCAGGAGGCTGAGGCAGGAGAATTGCTTGAACCCAGCAGGCAGAGGTTGCAGTGAGCTAAGATCGCAACACTGCACTCCAGCCTGGTGACAGAGCAGCACTCTGTCTCAAAAAAAAGCCAAGACGTGGCTCATGCCTGTAATTCTAGTACTTTGGGAGACTAAGGCAAGAGGATCACTTGAGGTCAGGAGATCAAGACCAGCTTGACCAACGTGGTGAAACCCCATCTCTACTAAAAATACAAAATTTGCCAGGCATGGTGGCATGCACCTGTAATCCCAGCTACTTGGGAGGCTGAGGCAGGAGAATCACTTGGACCCTGGTGGCAGAGGTTTAATAGTGAGCCAAGATTGTGCCACTGCACTCCAGCCTGGGTGACAGAGTCACACTCTGTCTCAAAAAAAAAAAAGGCTGGGCACGGTGACTCACGACTGTAATCCCAGATCTTTGTGAGGCCAAGGTGAGTGGATCACCTGACATCTGGAGTTCGAGACTAGCCTGGCCAACATGGTGAAACCCTGTCTACGCAAAATACAAAAAAACCAGGCGTGGTGGCAGGTGCCTTGTAATCCCAGCTACTTGGGAGGCTGAGGCAGGAGAATTGCTTGAGTTTTGGGAGCAGAGGTTGCAGTGAGCCAAGACCGGAACATTGCACTCCAGCCTGGGCAACAAGAGCAAAACTCTGTCTTAAAAAAAAAAGCGGCCGAATATGGTGGCATGCACTTGTAATCCCAGCTTTTGGGGGAGGCTGAGACAAGGATTGTTTGAGCCCAGGAATTTGAGGCTGCAGTGAGCTATGGTCAACACTGTACTACTTGGGCAACAGAGTAAGACCCTTTCTCTCTTTTTTTTTTTTTTTTTTAAAGTAAAAACTCAGAAAGCACTTAGACTAGTATTTGGCCTATAGTGAATATCTGATAAGTGTCAGCTTTTCCCACTGCTTAATTATTTAACATTTTTTTTTCTTTTTGAGACAAAGTATCAGTTTATTATAGAGGCTGGAGCACAGTGGCAGGATCTTGGCCCACTGCCAGCCTAAGCCATCCTCCCACCTCAGCTTCCCAAGTAGCTAGGACTACAGGTGTGCACCACCATAGGCTAATTTTTGCAGGCACAAAAAATGTTTCATACAGTTACAGTGTTACTAGCTAGCAAAAAACTGGAAACAACCTGTCCTACAACGTAGTGATACTTAGTAAATTAGTTGTGATACATCAGGAGGCTGGAACATTAGGTATGTGCTAAAAATAGTTACTGCTGGGGAGGAAATGTGGATAGTGGAAAGCAGAACTCCTGTGCACATGGACAGGGTTTATTGAAATGACAAAGTGGGCTGGTAATGTTCTTTCTTCAGAGCCCTCACACTGGTTTTAGCAAGGAGAAGCAGGCTTCCAGGGCAGGTGTTGGCAAGCAGTGTGGACCGAGGGGCAGCGAGTGGCTCAGCAGCCCTGGAGGTACACACAGCCTCTCGGCCTGGCCCCCTGGCTCTGTCAGGTCCAGTGGCAGAGTACTGGGTAGGGCTTGCAGGCTCCAGTCCAGGGTTCAGCTGGGTGCTAGTCCACAGCCCGCAGAGGAACCACGTCCTTGTTTGGGAGTTAGGGACTCCCATCCGCACCATACTCATTATGCCAGTTTCTGCAAGGGAGGAGCCAGGGCAGGTGTCTAAATGGGTACAAAGCCCAACGGGGCGGAAGGAAACAGTCTCTGGTAGGAGACTGTCCTGCCTGAGGTGTCCTAACAGCAGCACAGGCAGACCAGAGGACCACCTCCCCCAGGGCCCACACTCTTCCCTTCCTTTCTGTGTTTTTTTTAATTGTATTCTTTATTTTTTATTTTATTTATTTATTTTTTTTAGGCTAGTCGAGTGAAGCAGTGAGAGTGGAGAAGGAACAAAGAAATCTGTAACTGATTGTGATCAATTAGTTGTAAACACCAGTGCCATCGGACCAGCCTCTTTCTTTTTTTAAGACAGTCTCGCTGTGTTGCCCAGGCTGGAGTACAGTGGCATAATCTCAGCTCACTGCAACCTCTACATCCTGGATTCAAGCAATTCTCCTGCCTTAGCTTCCCAAAAAGCTGAGATTACAGGTGTGCGCCACCACGCCTGGCTAATTTTTGTATTTTTAGTAGAGACGGGGTTTTGCCATGTTGGCCAGGCTGGTCTCCAACTCCTGACCTCAAGTGATCCGCCTTCCTCTGCCTACCAAAGTGCTGGGATTACAGGCATGACCACTGTGCCCGGCCTCTTTTTCCTTTTTTTTTGGTCTGGGTTCTAGCAGCTTCCACAGCATTGGAGAACATTGTTGGTTTCAGCTGGCATCTTTCCCCTCCTGCAGGAATCCCTTTGTGATAGTTCCCTCCTTTTCCCACTGCTTAATTATTTAACATTTTAGTATTTTCGGGGAATTATAATGACAGTGGGATACAAATCCTTGTATCATGAATCTCATAACTAGGGGTATGCATTGGAGCCCCCTGGAACTTCTCACCTGTCCCCTGCTGGTCCTGCTCTGGAGCCTCTGACTCTGTCCCTTCCAAGGAGCTGGTGGCCACCTCTCCTGATGCAGATCAGGGAGCCCTAACCTCCTAGGGTCAGTCCTGGCACTGCTATGGGGGAAGGTCGGGGTCACCTGGAATAATACCCCTTCGTGGTTTTTTTTTTTTTTTTGAGATGGAGTTTCGCTCTTGTTACCCAGGCTGGAGTGCAATGGTGCAATCTTGGCTCACCACAACCTCCGCCTCCTGGGTTCAGGCAATTCTCCTACCTCAGCCTCCTGAGTAGCTGGGATTGCAGACACCCACCACCATGCCCGTCTGATTTTTGTGTTTTTAGTAGAGAAGGGGTTTGGCCACATTGGTCATGCTGGTCTCGAACTCTTGACCTTAGGTGATCTGCCCACCTTAGCCTCCCATAGTGCTGGGATTACAGGTATGAGCCACCACATCTAGCCTACATCTTAGATTCTTGATGGTCTCCATGTTTGTCGTTTTTCCAACTAGACTGGAAACTTCTTTAAGTGCTTTCTATTTCTGGCAGGGTGTGCAGGTTCCAATCATTACATGACTAAAATTTGGCCCTTGCTGTACCTCTTCCTTGGGGTGGTTAATCTTTTGCTAAATTATTTACCCAGAGTTATTTAAAAAGTAATAACAGAAAGACAAGTGGCTCAGAAGAGCTTTGGGCACTAAAATGAACCAGCCCTCAACATACACTCTGTTTACTGCCTGAGCCCCTCCTGGGAGTCCTGCGTGCAAGCCTTTGTACTGGGGGACTTGGGGGTTCCGTCTGTGACAGACTAACCCCTTGATGGAGCAAGGGGAGTCAGCAGAGAGCAGGCAGGGCCCACAGAAGGGTGAAGTGGTCTGGAAAACGGGCTGTTGTGGGGCCCAGTTAGGGCAGTGTGCAGAGACAGACAGCCTTGGCCAAGTGATGGTGTGGGCAGGACCTGGCAGGCTGGCCTTGGTGTTAGGAAAGACCAACACAGGGACTGCCGACACAGGACCCAGCCGGGGTGGGATCCTGGGGCAGGTCAGGAGAGGGGTGAGCAGAGCCTGTCTGTCTGCAGCAGAAGCTTCCGATGGGGGAGGTAAGGGGAAGGCAGGATAGGGAGGAGACATGGGACCTGAAGCCAGGAGGGCCCCAGAGGGCCTTTTTTTTTTTTCTTTGAGACAGGCTCTCACTCTGTCTCCCAGGTTGGAAGTACAGTGGCACAATCATGGCTCAGGGCTCACTGCAGCCTTGAACTCCTGAACTCAAGTTGTCCTCCTGCCTCAGCCTCCTGAGTAGCTGGGATTAAAGGTGTGTGCCACCATGCCCAGCTAATTTTTAATTTATTTTCTATAGAGATAGAGTCTCACTGTATTGCTCTGTCTGGTTTTGAACTCCTGGCCTCAAGCAGTTCGGCCTCCAAAAGTGCTGGGATTGGCTGGGCGTGGTGGCTCACGCATATAATCCCAACACTTTGGGAGGCTGGCTGGTGGATCACCTGAGGTCAGGAGTTTGAGATCAGCCTGACCAATATGGTGAAACCCTGTCTCTTAAAAAAAAAAAAAAAAGTACTGGGTTTACAGGCCTGAGCCACCAGACCCCACCAAGAGGGGTTCTGACTGGGGAGAACCCATGGGGAGTTGGTCCCTTCCAGCTGACATGGCCCGTGGTGGGCAGGATGCCCAGCTGGGGGAGCTGGGGTGATGAGCCAAGCCAGGGAGTCTGGGGGATCATCCTGGGGAGGGTGTGGTTAGAAGGTAAGGGCCATGAGAAATTCTTTCAGAAGTCTGGGAAGGGACCCGGAGTTGGGAAAGCCATGTTGAATTTAGGGGGAGGAGGATTCCAGGAAGTGGGGGCCGTGGGTGTGGGGTACCACCGGGAGGGGAGGTCCAGGCCTCTGAGTCCCGGGGGCTTTGGTGGGAGGGCGTGGCAGGTGGGGAGGGCGTGCAGCTGGTCTCAGAGCCCTGGTACTGGGTGCTGGGTGCTGGGTGGAATACAAAAGTAGGGGAGTCTGAAGCTGAAGCTGCACAGGGCTGGGTGGGAGGTGGGCAGGTCCCGGAGGTCCATAAGGGCTGGGTCCAGGCCTGGGCCATCCCCGAGGAGGCCGCACCGGACTCATTCTGAATTTCAGGACTCTGAATTTCGGGGTCGTTTGCAAGGCCAGCTTCCTGGGGCTTCTGCTTGGAATTCAGGTAGGACGCGGTCTTCACGGCTCTGAGGAGGCTGTGGCCGGCTGTCCTGTGTGTCACAGCGCGGCAGAGAGCCGCAGAGGCTGACATGGAGGCTGCGTGCCTGGGACGCAGAGGGAGCTCCCGTGGGCCACGGGCCCCGCGCAGAGCCCGCTCCTGTGCATCCTCGCCTGCAGGGTCCTGGCACTGCCATTGCTGCTCCGCGTCCACCGCCTGGACCCCCCTCCCCCCGAGTGGTCCGTGTCTGCGTCGGTGCCTCTCCCGGGCGGGGTGTGGGGGGACGGAGCCCGCCTGCCATGTGCACCTGCGAAGTCCCGGGGCCCGTGCTGACGCTTTTCCTTCTGTTCGCAGCCTCCTCCAGCTGGTGATCTCGGGCCCCGTGCAGCAGCCGCCTCACGCCGCGCTCCCCCCAGGCTTCTACCCCCACATCCACACGCCCCCGCTGGGCTACGGGGCCGTGCCGGCCCACCCTGCCGCCCACCCCGCCCTGCCCACTCACCCCGGGCACACCTTCATCTCGGGCGTGACGTTCCCCTTCAGGCCCATCCGCTAGGCTGGCCTGCGCGTGCCTTCTGCACCCTCTTTGGACAAAGCCTTCTGAGAAGGAAGGGGTGGTCGGCCCCCCAGAAGAGGACCTCGGGGAAGCGGCAGGGCAGCCCCTCCCCGCTGGCAGAATCGTCTGGGTGCGGAAGCTTTGACGTCACGGAGTTCAGGTGCTTCCCACCCGGTCGCATTCTTAGACATCCAGATTGGATGAAGGGAAGAGTACAGCCCTCTGCCGAGAGGCTGATGCAGGCATTTTTAAAACATGCAGATGCTGGGAGCCTCTGTTCTCTAGGCATTTCAGACACAGCCTGTGTGGCGAGGAGTGTGACGGCAGGAGCCGCAGGTGCAAGCCCATGTGTGTCTGGCCTCTTTCCTCGTGAAGATGATGTGTCCCCGCCAGAAAAAGCAGGCTCTTTCTGCAGCCCCGGGAGCTGAGCCCAGGCTGCCTATAGTGACCACAAGCTTGTGTGCAGCACCGCTCAGGGAAGCTGTCGGGAATCCCCCTCACTTCGGAAAGGAATTTCTTTGCTTTGTTGGGGGTGTCTAAATTTTCCTTTCATATGTTCGAATAAATTTTTTCTAAACGGTCATATATACTTTATGGAATGTATTTTTAATGGCTTCATAAATGTTGCTTCCAGCTGCAGGGATTTCCTTCCCAAGCTCTTTTTTTTTTTTTTATAGAGTCTTGCTCTGTCGCCCAGGGGTGGAGTGCAGTGGTGTGATCTCGGCCCACTGCAACCTCCACCTCCTGGGTTCAAGCGATTCTGGCACCTCAGCTTCCCTGGTAGCTGGGACTACAGGTGCACTCCACAATGCCTGGCTAATTTTTTTTTGTATTTTTTACAGAGATGGGGTCTTGCTAGGTTGCCTAGGCTGGTTTCAAACATTTGAACTCAACTGATCTGCCCACCTTGGCCTCCCAAAGTGTCAGGATCAGAGGTGTTTGCCAGTGCCCTGGCCGCCTTTCCAATCTTTTAGGATTGTGGTAGTTTTAGTCATTTCTTTGGATGGAAACAACTTGGACACCCATGCCCCAGCTGAGCTGGGCAGCTGAGGTCAGTGAGCATACAGCACTCGAGGTTTTGTTTTTTGTTTTTTTTTTTAAAGGCAGGATTTCACTCTGTTGCCCAGGCTGGGAGTGTAGTGGAGTGATCTCAGCTCACTGAAGTCTCTGCCTCCCAGGTTCAAGCGATTCTTCTACCTTAGCCTCCTGAGTAGCTGGTACTACAGGTGCCTACCACCACGCCTGGCTAATTTTTGTGCTTTTAGTAGAGATGGGGTTTCACCATGTTGGCCAGGCTGGTCTTGAACTCCTGACCTCAGGTGATCTGCTGTCGTCTGCCTCCCAAAGTGCTGGGATTACAGGCATGAGCCACCATGCCCGCCCTGCTTCAGGTCTGTTTGCTTCGTGTCGCATTTCTTCCCTCAGGTACAAAACACAGCCCTCAGGGATCTTTTTCCTACTGCAAAGGGGAAGGTGTCTGCCTGGAATCCTCCCATAACTGACTTTAGGAGGAAGGAAAGATTAGGAAGCATGTCACTGTAGCTCTCCCAGCCTGATATGAGAGATGGAAACAGCAAACAAGGAGCATTAAAAGATTGAGCTTACCTTTTGGGGACGAAATTTAACCTCCTGTGGTCAGGCACAGTGGCTCAGGCCTGTAATCCCAGCACTTTGGGAGGCCAAAGTGGGCAGATTACTTGTGGCCAGGAGTTCAAGACCAGCCTGGGCAACATGGTGAAACTGACTCTACTAAAAATAAAAAAATTAGCTGGATGTAGTGGTGTGTTCCTGAAATCCCTGCTACTTGGGAGGATGGGGCAGGAGAATCACTGGATCTCAGGAGGCAGAGGCTGCAGTGAACTGAGACTGCCACTGCACTCCAGCCTGGGTGACAGTGAGATTCTGTCTCAAAAAAAAAAAAAAAAAAAAGAAAAAGAAAAATTGGGCAGCCATGGTGGCTCACACCTGTAATCCCAGCACTGTGGGAGGCCGGGGCAGGCAGATCACCTGAGTTCAAGAGTTCAAGACCAGCCCAGCCAACATGGTGAAACCTCGTCTAAAAATACAGAAATTAGCCAGGCGTGGTGATGTGCACTTGTAGTCCCAGCTACTGGGGAGGCTGAAGCAGGAGAATCGCTTGAGCCAGGACTTGGAGGCTGCTGTGAGCACACTATGGCATTCCAACCTGCGCAGCATAGCAAGACCTTGTTTTGAAAAGAAAAAGATGGAAAAGAACCTCTCATGTTGTTTCCATGTTTGAGACACTCTCTTACCAGTTGGGCCCTTGCAGCTCCATCTCAGAAAGTGGCCTGCACCAAAACTTTCCAGAGGTGAGATATGTCTCCGCTCCTCTCAGACCCAAGATGGTTCTTCCACAATAAAAAAGAAAAAAAAATGTGGGAAATAAAGCAACGTACCAGACTCCCCTGGCTGGTACATTGAGTAGTGTGTGAGTAATTAAAACAACCTATTAAAAATGTAGGCTGGGAGTGGTGGCTCAACACCTGTAATCCCAGCACTTTGGGAGGCCAAGGCGGGTGGATCACAAGGTCAGGAGTTCAAGACCAGCCTGGACAATATAGTGAAGCCCCGTCTCTACTAAAAATACAAAAATTGGCCAGGCGTGGTAGTGGGCGCCTGTAATTCCAGCATTTTGGGAGACCGAGGCGGGTGGATCATCTGAGGTCAGGAGTTCGAGACCAGCCTGACCAACATGGAGAAACCCCGTCTCTACTAAAAATACACAATTAGCTGGGTGTGGTGGCACATACCTGTAATCCCAGCTACTTAGGAGGCTGAGGCAGGAAAATAGCTTGAACCCGGGTGGCAGAGGTTGTGGTGAGCCGAGATTGTGCCATTGCACTCCAGCCTGGGTAACAAGAGCGAAATTCCGTATCCCCCCCCAAAAAAATGCAGAATGGCCCTGTGACCCAGCAAATCTAGAAACAAAAAGGGATGACAAAGGATTTTTGCTGCACTGTTGTTTTTAAAGTTGTGGTTTTATTAAGATATGATTCACATACCTAGTTCATCCATTTAACATGTACACTTCAGGCCGGGTGAGGTGGCTCACACCTGTAATCCCAACACTTTGGGATTTCACCATGTTGCCCAGGGTAGTTCTCAAACTCCTACGCTCAAGTGATCCTCTCACTTCAGCCTCCCAAAGTGGCTGGGATTACAGGCGTGGTCCAAGGCATCTGACTTGAGGTTGTCAAAAGTCCCAGCCTGCATGGCTACCAGCACTTCAAGATGGTGTCAGAGGAGCCTCAGGAAGCCCCAGTTCAATCTAAGCCTCAGCAAATGAACACTGAGATTTTGCTTGGAGGACACCAATGCCATCAGATGGAACTGCCCCACACTGGGGTCCTGGCAACCCTCATTCTTTCTGTCTTAATTCAGAGCTTTAACATCAGAGGACACGTGGTTCTGGGTCACTGCAGTGGATACCTTGATTAGTTGTTTGGATTTTGACATAGTCTCACTCTGTCACCCAGTCTGGAGGGCAGTGGTGCGATCTTGGCTCACTGCAGACTCCACCTCCTGAGTTCCAGCGATTCTCCTGCTTTACCCTCCTGAAAGCTGGAATTACAAGTGCCTGCCACCATGCCCAGCTAATTTTCGTATTTTTAGTAGGGATGGGTTTTGCCATGTTGGCCTGGATGGTCTCAAACTCCTGGCCTCAAGTAATCCATCCACCTTGGCCTCCCAAAGTGCTGGGATTACTGGTGTGAGCTGTGACATCTGGCAACACACTTCCCTGTCCTGGAACATTTGATGGCGTTTACTGGGGGTTTGACCTGAACAGTAACACCTGACATTTGCATGCTAGGGCAGCGCCAAAGCATGCTTTCCATTTTTAAAAATTTTAATATTTGGCTGGGCACGGTGGCTCACGCTTGTAATCCCAGCACTTTGTCAGATCGAGGCAGGTGGATCATGAGTTCTTGAACTCCAACCTGACCAAGATGGTGAAACCCCGTCTTCTACTAAAAATAAAAAAAAATTGGCCGGGTGTGGTGGCACGCACCCATAATCCCAGCTACTCCGGAGGCTGAGGCAGAGAATTGCTTGAACCTGGGAGGTGAAGGTTGCAGTCAGCTGAGATTACGCCACTGCACACTGCACTCCAGTCTGGGTGACAGAGCAAGACTCAATCTCAAAATACATAAATAATTTTTATTTTCCTTTTTGTTATATTCAGAGAATGCAAGCATTTCTAGGGAAGGACACTCGAGAATATGCTCCACCAAAATGAAGGGCAGCATAATCGATGCTCACTGCAGTGCTTCTCCCTAGCTTGCTGCTCCTCCCCAGAGCAGAATCCAAACCTTTTCCACTATCTCCAGGAGGAGACAGACTTCCTGCAGCCCCTCAGCTGCCATCTGGGAACAGCTCTAAGTCTGCCTCATTCCACTCCCCTTTAAGGCACCTGCACCTGCTCCTGGCCCATCAGCTTTTCCTCTCAGGCGCAAAGGATCAAGAATCCAAATGGCACTGGAGTTCTCCACTAGCAACTCTGGAAGCTAAAATGCAATGAAACTGTTTTAGGCTGGACGTGATGGCTTGGTTCACGCCATAATGCCAGCGCTTTGGGAGCCAATGTTGGTGGACAGCTTGAGCCAGGAGTTTGAGGTCTCAGCCTGGGCAACATAGCGAGATCCTATCTCTATAAAAAATCAGCCAGGCAAGGTGGGTGAGTAGTCCCAGCTACTCAGGAGACTAAGGTAGGAGGATTGCTTGAGCCCAGGATGTCGAGGCTGCAGTGAGCTATAATCGCACCTCTGCACTTCAGCCTAGAAGACAGAGTGAGACTCTGTCTCAGATAAAAAACCAAAAACCACACACACACAAAAGTGCCTTTAACATTCCTAGGGGAGACAATTGCCAATCTATAATCCATAGTCAATCTAATGTGAGAATAAAGACTTTGGCCAAGCACCATGGCTCACACCTGTAATTCCAGCATGTTGGAAAGCTGAGACAGGAAGATCACTTGAGCCCAGGAATTCCAGGCTGCAGTGAGCCATGATGGCACCACTGCACTCCAGCCTGGGCAACAGAGCAAGACCCTGACTCAAAAAAAAAATAATAATATAAGAAAGAGACAGACATGGTGTGAGTAAACAGGGATTAGTATGAGAGAGTGTAAGGAAAACAAAGGCAAGTCCCAGAAGGATGGCGATGGGAGGAGCGGGGGCGTGGGTCCCAAATTGACAGCGGGCAGCAGCGCCAAGAGCAGCTTGCCCAGGTGAATCCACAGGGAGGAAGCCCCTGGAGGGACGCCCCCAGGAAACAGTGAAGCAAATGTCTTCTTGACCAGATTGACCAGGTGGAAAGTTGAGTTATTTATAGAGCCAAAGGAGGATGTGGGAAGGCTTATTAAAAGACTCTAGGCTGGGCGCAGTGGCTCAGGCCTGTAATCCCAATACTGTGAGAGGCTGAGGTAGGCAGATCACAAGGTCAGGAGTTCGAGACCAGCCTGGCCAACATGGTGAAACCCCGTCTCTACTAAAAATACAAAAAATTAGCTGGGCATGGTGGCACATGCCTGTAATCCCAGATACTTGGGAGGCTGAGGGAGGAGAATCATTTGAACCCTAGAGGTGAGGTTGCAGTGAGCCGAGATCACGCCATTGCACTCCAGCCTGGGCAACAGAGTGAGAAAAAAAAAGATTAAAATATTCTAGCTGGGGCTGGGCATGGTGGCTCGCGCCTGTAATCCCAGCATTTTGGGAGGCTGACGCGGGTACATCACTTGAGGTCAGGAGTTCGAGACCGGCCTGGCAAACATGGTGAAACCCTGTCTCTACTAAAAATACAAAAATTAGCCGGGCATGGTGGTGTAAACCTGTAATCCCAGCTACTCAGAAGGCTGAGACAGGAGAATCACTTGAACCTGGGAGGTGGAGGTTGCAGTGAGCCGAGATTGCACCACTGCACTCTGGCCTGGGTGACAGAGCAACATTCCATCTCAAAAATAAATAAATAAAATAAAATAAATATTATAGCCAGGTGTGGTGGCTCATGCCTATAATCCCAGCATTTTGGGAGGCTGAGGTGGGAGGATGGCTTGAGGCCAGGAGTTCAAGACTAGGCTGGGCAACATAGGGAGACCCCATCTCTACGAAAAAATACATTAGCTGGATGTGGTGGTACATGCCTGTAGTCCTAGCTACTTGGGAGGCTGAGGTGGGAGGTTCACCTGAGCCTGGGAAGTTGAGGTTGCAATGAGCTGTGATTGTGCCACTGCACTCTAACCTGGGCAATGGGAGTGAGAACCTGTCTCAAAAACAACAAAAAGCTCAGTGGGAGGAACTGTGTGTGGACTGGGTGGGAATCGTCTGTGGTGCAGAAGTGAGCATGAGCCTGGCAGGGAAGCACAGCCTACAAGGTGTCAGAGAAGGGACCAAGAGGAAGGGGAGCCAAGGTGTTTCTCCCTGGACATGATGGCAGAAGTGTCTCATACTGCCCAGAGGCCAAACGTAATGAGGGTTTAGTGATATGGACATTGCAGGTGACATCAGGGGGAGTTGCCTGGCTGGGGTGAGGCCACGTCAGAGAATAGAAGGAAGGATGGGCAGATGAGAATATGGCAGAAAATGTTTGGCTGTCAAGGGCAGGAGGGAGAAGCGGGTGGCTCTTTATTTTATTTTTTTTTGAGATGGAATCTCGCTCCCGTCGTGCAGTGGCAAGCTCTCAGCTCACTGCAACCTGCACTTCAGGTTCAAGTGATTCTCCTTCATTAACCTCCCAAGTAGTTGGGATTACAGGCATGCACCACCACGCCTGGCTAATTTTTTTGTATTTTTAGTAGAGACAGGGTTTCGCCATGTTGATCAGGCTGGTCTTGAACTCCTGACCTCAGATAATTCACCCACCTTGGCCTCCCAAAGTACTAGGATTATAGGCATGAGCCACCATGCCCGGCGTGGGTAGCTTTTTTCTATTTTATGGACAGAATCTTGCTCTGTTGCCCAGGCTGGAGTGCGGTGGCATGATCATGGCTCACTGCAGCCTCCAAAGCCAGAGCTCACACGATCCTCCTGTCTTGGCCTCCCAAAGTGCTGGGATTACAGGCATAAACCACTGCATCTGGCCAGGGTAGCATGTTTTTAAGAAGGGAGAGCCCTGAGGATGTGTAAATGCTGCCAGATAGAAGCCAGCAGAAGGAAAGGCTAAACACCTGAAGAGGGAGGGGCCCCTCAAGGTACAAGGTCTTGCAGGAGGCAAGAGGAGGCAGGTGCACACCTGCCCTTATCTTAAACCCCTGGTCTTATCCTCCTCATCTGCTCCTCTGTCTGTTCATGCTTATCCTGCCTAGCAGGCTGCCATCTCCCCTTCACAGATCCAAGGCAGTCATTTACCTGCAGTTACCTGGCTGCAGAAAGGTCCCATGACCCCAGATGACTCTGCTCCAAAGCCAGGTTCTTGCTGTACTTGTTCTAGCCTGGGGCGGAAGCCACCAGAGTGCTGGGTTTTCAGGTAAGAACCAGAGAGGGGAAGCCTTGAACTCCAGTGCCTGTGGGGGCCAGAGAGATTCCAAAAACAGGACAAGGTGGCCACCTGTGTCACAGCAGTGTGAGCCCAGAGACAGGATGAAGGGAGGAGACTGTGCACCCTGAGGGCTCGTGTGGGGGGCATTCCTACTACACCCCAGATCACCAGATCTTTGGATTTTTTGTTTTTGTTTTTTTTTTGAGATGGAGTTTTGCTCTTGTTGCCCAGGCTGGAGTGCAATGGTGCAATCTCTGCTCATTGAAAACTCCGCCTCCTGGGTTCAAGCGATTCTTCTGCCTCAGCCTCCTGAGTAGCTGGGATTACAGGCACCCACAACCATGCCCAGCTAATTTTGTATTTTTAGTAGAGATGAAGTTTCTCCATGTTGGTCAGGCTGGACTTGAACTCCTGACCTCAGGTGATCTGCCCACCTCGGCCTCCCAAAATGCTGGGATTATAGGTGTGAGCCACCATGCCCGGTGTGTTTGCTTGTTTTTAGATGGAGACAGGGTTTCGCTCTGTCACCCAGGCTGGCGTGCAGTGGTGCAATCATAGCTCACTGAAGCCTTCCTTGACCTCCTCCGGGGCTCAAGTGGTCCACCCACTTTGGCCTCCCAAGTAGTTGGGACTACAGGCTACTTTTTAGTAGCCCAGCTAATATTTTAAAACATTTTTTGTAGAGATGGGGTCTTGCTATGTTGACCAAGCTGATCTCAAACTACCAGCCTCAAGTGATCCTCCCAAAGAGCTGGGTTTACAGGCGTGAACTACCATGCCCTGTCCCCAGATCTTTGGGTTTTTCTAAAGAATTTGAACATCCTAATTTGAATTTGAATTCTCCAGGTTAGAGAGGTTTGTGCTCCGAGGACAGTAAAGTTAGGTGGTGGAACTTAAAGACGGGGTTAGGGAAGGCTTTCCTTGGAGAAGACCCCTACCCAGGCAGGAAGCCGCTGGCAAAGTCCGGAAAAGGCGAGGGTGGGGGAGGTGGGAGGGCCTGACCACCAGCCTTGTGGCTAGGGGAAGGCGGCAGGGGCGCTGGGAGGGAGGATTCCAGCTCTGCCAGTTCTCCAAGGTGGCCCCATTTGATCTATGCAGGTCACAATACCCGAACGGGGGAGGGGGGCACACATTCCCTACTGGCCTGCCCTCCCCTCCCCAGTCCAGGGGTCCAAGAGGAGGGCTCCAAGGTGCGGACCTGGGTGGACTCTCCAGGCCCTGCTGGGGCCGGGATCGGATGGCGCCCACTCCCTCCCGCTCTGAGTGCCAACGAATTGAGTGCTAATTGGCCACAATTTGTACCCCAGGGAAGTCCCGAAGCCACGCCTGTCCTCCAGGGTGTTGCAGGAATCCGGCTGGGCACCCCCCACCCAGACACCCAGGCAGCGACAGTCGCCAACCGTGGCGCGCGGACACGCGCAGCGGGGATGCGGCACAGCGCGCGCTGCGCTCGGCACTGGCCGGCCCGGGACGCCCCAGGGGCCGCCGCATCGTGTCCCCCGGGCCGGGTGAGTGGCCGGGCCGGGAAGGGTTAAGCTCACCGAGCTGCGGCTGCCTAGAGCGGCGGCGGCGGCGGCGGCGGCGGGGCCGGGGCGCGGGGGCGCGGGGGCGCGGCGGGCGGCAGGGGCGGGGGACAGGATGCGGATGCCGGGGGGACTTCCTGTGCCGGCCCCCGCGCCCGCGCCCCCGGCCCGGCCCGCGGCCGCACGGACGCACTCCCGGGAGGGCGGGCGAGCCCAGCGGGACCCGGCCCGGCCGCTGCGCCCGCCCCCCTCCTCCCCTCCCCGCCCCGGCCCCCGCGCGGCCCGGCCCAGGCCGCCCGCGGGTTCCGGGCACCTGTAGCCCCCGAGGACCCGCGTCGCCTGGCCGCCGCCGACCCCAGGCTGGGCCACCCCGCAGTGCCGACCCCGGGCGCCGGCCTGGACCCGGTTGCCCGCCACGGTCCCGCGGGGCCGGCCCTGAGCTCCGCGCTGGATTCGAGGCGCTGCCTCCCGCCCCGGCCCCCACCCGAGAGTCTCCGCCAACTTCTGCTCGCCCGCTCCTCTCGGCCCCTTTCCTTGGCCCAGGGCGACCTTGGAAGCCCAGACCGCACGGACCCTCCCGAGTGTCCAGATAGCCTCTGGGGTGCCCCGGCGCCTCCCGGCTCTTTCTGGATGGAGGCGCCTCCGGAAGGAGCGGGCTGCACGCAGTGGCCTTCACCTCGCAGCCTCTGCTGACCACACCTCCCCTAGCGCAGAGGCTGCCCCGGGAGCAGGAAATGCTCCACCAGGTGAGGCCACCAGGGACGTGACCCTCGAGAGGGTTTGGACTGGATGTCGCGAGGCTAGAGGGGTCTTGAGTTGGCCTGTTTAGGGGAGAGGGCGGACGCTCAGGAGCACCTGGGCACAGGGCCAGGCAGTGGGTGACAGTGCTCTGGACACCTGCCTTGCCGGGGAGCTGGGGTGGCACCTGATACACGTGGCCTGCTAGTGGCCTTGTCAGAGCAGGCTAGGGAGGCAATAGAATTGAAAGGGGCCGGCGCGCGGTGACTCACTCCTGTAATCTCAACACTTTGGGAGGCCGAGGCAGGAGGATCGCCTGAGACCAGGAGTTCGAGACCAGCCTTGGGCAACATTGTCTACAATATAAGAAAACATAACATAACAACAGGGCTTGATGGCGCGCACCTGTAGCCTCAGCTACTTAGGCGGTTGAGGCAGGAGAATCGCTTGAACCCAGGAGGCGGAGGTTGCAGTGAGCAGAGATCGTACCACTGCACTCTAGCCTGGGTGACAGAGAAAGACCCTATGTCAAAAAAGAATTGAAGGAGACAAATTATTGATGGACAGTCTCTCTTTGGCCCCAGAGCCCCCTACCCTGAATGTCTTTTAGTGACTCCAGCTTCCCTCCCTTGTGAAGGGCTGATACCCACAGTTGTGTCTCAGCGGGGCTACCCCGCTCTTTGTCCCCCTGTGAAGCATCAGGAGAGACAGCCCTGCCTTTGTGCAGGAACAGGGTCTCATGCAGTGCCACCTTCCTGACCCTGAGCCTTCAGGCCTCCCAGACTCCCTGGTCTTCGTTGTGGCCTGGATGGTCCTGTAGTTGCAGCAGGGGTGAAGCTGACTGCTCTGGGTGGTCGGAGGCAGAGGTGGAGGGTCTGTGCCACCTGGCGGGGGCTCCAAGCACGCCAGCCCATCTGAACCACCTCCTTCCTTTCTCTCAGCACAGCCGACTCCGGGGAATCTGGGTCTGACCGCCAGGATGGAGGTGGGGCCAGCCACCGAGACCTTCGTGCTGGAACTTCGATGTCTTGAAGATGGCGGCCCAGGGCCTGACACCCTCTCAGGTGAGGGCCTGGTGGGGGGAATCCCTTGACAGAGCCCCATGGCTGCCTGCTGTGGCAGAAAGAGGCCCAAGGGTGATGGGCAGGCCGCATGGACTCATACCAGCCAACCTCAGCTGTGCTGAGTAACACCGGCAGCTCTGCCTTGAGATTTTCCAAAGTGGCTGTGTCAGGCAGGCTGAGGCCAGGCTGATGAGGGGCTCCCTGGCCCCCATATGTGTACTGACTGACTGGACTCATACTGGCTGGAATTTATTGCTGTGTTTTCCTGGCAGCCAGGGAGCCTCCACAATCTTCCTACCTCGCCTCAGCTCCTGACTCAATTTCCATTCAATTTCCTAGATTGGATTCAGGCACTGATAGGCTCTCTTCCTGTCCCTCCCGCCTCAGATGTTGGCTCTGTGGATTCTTCTCTCTGGTGGCTTCTTAAGCTTGTCCACTTTCCCTTGACCTCTGCTCACATCTGTTTTTCTCTACCTGATGCCCCGGGGCAGATGTGGTACTGTAGAATCTCCCAAGGCCTCTTCCTCTGGGACCCACTCTGGGAAAACCTTCTTTGGTGACCACGCTCATGAGAGCTAGTTTCCATTCTGTGCTTTAAGTGTGCTGAGTGGGGGGCTGGGGCAGGGTGGGACAGAGCATGAAAAGGACCAAGGGAATTGCAGGGGTGGGATGGGGACGTGTGAAGTCAAGAAGGATCCTTCTGGCCAGGTGTGGTGGTTCATCCTGTAATTCCACCACTTTGGGAGGCTGAGGTGGGCAGATCACTTGAGGCCAGGAGTTCAAGACCAGCCTGGCCAGCATGGTGAAACGTCGTCTCTACTAAAAATACAAAAACTAGCCAGCTCTGGTGGGTACCTGTAATCCTAGCTACCTGGGAGGCTGAGGCAGAAGAATCACTTGAACCTGGGAGGCAGAGGTTGCAGTGAGCCAGGATCATGCTACTGTACTCCAGCCTTGGTGACAGAGTGAGAGTCTGTCTCAAAAAAAAAAAAAAAAGAAAGAAAAAAGAAAAAAGGAAAACCCTTCTGACTTGGAAATTTAACTGACAAAACCTTGAGAAGGTATACCCATGAACATTGAACTAGATGTTTACTAAAATGCCTTCATTAAAAATGCTGGGGTCTGGCTCGATGGATCACACCTTTACAGGTGTGAGCACTTTGGGAGGCCAAGGCAGGTGGGCGAGGCAAGGGGCCAGAGCTCGGTGACTCACATGAGAACAGCCTATGCAGTGTGGCAAAACCCCGTCTCTACAAAAATTTTTTAAAAATTGGCCAGGCATGGTGGTGTGTACCTGTAGTCCTAGCCACTTAGGAGGCTGAGATGGGAGGATCACTTCAACCTGGGAGGCTGAGGCTACAGTGAGCTGAGATTGTGCCACTGTATTCCAGCCTGGGTGACAAGAGCGAGACCCTGTCTCAAAAACAACAATAGTAAAACAAAACAAAACAAAAAACAAACACTGAAATTGCTGCCCCAAGGAGTCAGAGTGGCCTGTGGTCAAGACTGCACCAGGAAGGAGGAGATTCACACCGAGGCATGATCTGCCCCATTGCTCCCAGCAGGGATGGGAGAAGGGAGTGTCCATGTGACATTGGACTTGCTGGGGGGACAGTTTTCACCTTGTCTTCTTCTACCACATGCTTTCCCCCAGTCAGTGTGAATGTCTGTGAAAAACATGCTCATGGATTCATTAGCCTAAGCAAAGGTTAGTAGGAATATTTTACTAGAGGAAATTATATGCATACAGATCTCCCTGCTGAGGTGTTTTTTTGTTTTTGTTTTTAAGATGGAGTCTTACTCTGTCACCCAGGCTGGAGTGCAGTGGCTCAGTCTTGGCTCACTGCAACCTCCACCTCCTGGGTTCAAGCAATTCTCCAGTTTCAGCATCCTGAGTAGCTGGGACCACAGGTACATGCCACCACACCCAGTAATTTTTGTATTTTTAGTAGAGATGGTTTCACCATATCTCTTGTTTTTTTTTTTTTGAGACAGAGTCTTACTCTCTTGCCAGGCTGGAGTGCAGTGGCTCAATCTTGGCTCATGGCAACCTCCGCCACCCACGTTCAAGTGATTCCCTTGCCTCAGTCTCCCAAGTAGCTGAGTCTACAGGCATGGGCCACCACACCTGGCTAATTTTTTGTATTTTAGTGGAGACGGGGTTCAGTATGTTGGCCAGGATGGTCTCGATCTCTGACCTGGTGATCTGCCCACCTCGGCCTCCCAAAGTGCTCACACCTGTAAAGATTATAGGCGTGAGCCACCACACCTGGCCATCCCTTGGTTTTATTAAATTAATATATTCCTGGAAAAGTGGCCAGAAAACAAACTTATAAATTAAACCATTGCCTTCCATTACAAAATGGAAAACATATGACACTATAGGGAAAAGAGATGTTAAAATCAGATTTAAGAATGGAGAACACCTCCTTGGGTCACATTGAAAAGAAGAATTAGGATTTTCCAATAGCCCAATAGTAACACTCAAAACAAGAAACTCAGGGTGGACACGGCACAGAAAGAGAAGCGTGGTAATGGAGTGGTGCTGTTTGTGCAGGGCTCACTCTGTCCCACACATGGCTGCGTCTCTACATTTACCTGAATTCCACTGATGTACCTGGAAAGTATTTAGCTTCTTTTAAAGAGGAGGAAGCTGAAGTTCTTAGAGGTTGTCCAATTGGTCAGTAAGGCTGGGAGAAGTCCTCTTTTTTTTTTTTGAGATAGAGTCTCACTCTGTTGCCCAGGCTGGAGTGCAGTGGTGTGATCTTGGCTCACTGCAACCTCCGCCTCCTTGGTTCAAGCAATTCTCTGCCTCAGCCTCCCAAGTAGCCGGGACTATAGGCGCGTACCACCACACCCAGCTAATTTGTTTTTTTTTTTTTTTTTTTTTTAATAGAGACAGGGTTTCACCAGGTTGGCCAGGGTAGTCTCGAACTCTTGAACTCAGGTAATCGTCCCACTTTGGCCTCCCAAAGTTCTGGGATTACAGGCGTGAGCCACCACACCCAGCCTAATTTTGTATTTTTAGTAGAGACAGGGTTTTGCCATTTTGGTCGCGCTGATCTCAAACTCTTGATCTGAGGTGATCTACCTGCCTCAGCCTCCCAGAGTGCTGAGATTACAGGCATGAGCCACCACGCCCAGCCGAGTTAGTCATTTTTAATCCTGAATGACAATCTAAAACACTCCCAGTCTCCTTGGTATTTTTCATTACTTTGCAAACCAACCTGCAGAGAGAGGGAATTTTCAGGCATCTATCAGGATCCAAGGACTGTGCCAGGGCTCTCCCTGTGTCACTCTTCAAGCGGATGGTGTGGGTATCACTGAGCTATTTTAGAGATGGGGCTGTGAGCCTGCGGAGGTTGTATACCTGATGACTGGTAGAGTTAGGTTCTGAACTGAGGACTTCCCACCTGGAACCTAGTGGCCTCTCTGACCCTTTGGTGATTTGGGGAAACTACTTGTAACACTTCCAGGCAGCTTTCTAGAATGCTCTATTCTTTACAGAGAAGGGGAGTTTCATTTATTTAAGGTGTGGCTGTAAACTGCGGTCGGAGTTCAGCATGGGATTGATGGTTTGGCCTGGAGTGGCGGTTCAGTGGTTTCCACTGGAGGGAGATTAAGCACAGAAGCCTTCTCAGGGGATGGTGTGGGAGCCCCTGGCACCCCTGCTGGTGTCAGTGTCAAGATCAGAGCATGGAGCCTGTGTAAAGGGAGGCTCCAAGGAGGGATCAGGGGGCTGGGGTCCAGAGGGAGATCACCAGCAGTCCCCTGGGTCCACCCGCCCTTCTTTCTTCCTTCCTTCCTTCCTTCCTTCCTTCCTTCCTTCCTTCCTTCCTCCCTCCCTCCCTCCCTCCCTCCCTCCCTCCCTCCCTCCCTCCTTCCCTCCCTCCTTCCCTCCCTCCCCTTCCTCCCTTCCTTTTTTGCCTAGGCTGGAGTGCAGTGGTGCTATCTTAGTTCACTGCAACCTCCACCTCCTGGGTTCGAGATTCTCCTGCCTCAGCCGCTTGAATAGTTGGGACTACAGGCACCCACCACCATGCCTGGTTAATTTTTTGTGATTTTAGTAGAGATGGGGTTTTGGCATGTTGCCCAGGCTGGTTTCAAACTCCTGAGCAAATTAGTCCTGAGCTCAGGCAATCCACCTGCCTCGGCCCCAAAGTACTGGGATTACAAGCATGAGCCACTGTGCCTGGCTACCTGGGCATTTTTTTTTTTTTTTCTTGAGATGGAGTCTCACTCATCACCCAGGCTGGAGTGCAGTGGCAGGATCACGGCTCACTGTAACCTCCGCCTCCCAGGTTCAAGCATTTCTCCTGTCTCAGCCTTCCGAGTAGCTGGGATTTCAGGCATGCACTGCCACATCTGGCTAATTTTTGTATATATATATTTTTAAGTAGAGATGGGGTTTTTCCATGTTGGCCAGGATGGTCTTGATCTCCTGGCCTCATGATCTGCCAACCTTGGCCTCCCAAAGTGCTGGGATTACAGGCATGAGCCACCACACCTGGCTACCTGGGCACATTTCAAAGCCACCCCCCTCCCCTGCAGCATTTTAGTTTGTGCTGGGCTGCTATTGTTACTTGATCCAGCACTTTTGGGCTCCTGCTAAGAGTGTGTTAGTGTGTCTTTAAGGGCAGGTTAAGAGGCAGGTCCTGGGGTCTGGACCAGAGAGCTTCCTGTAGATCTTTCTCTCCTGGCTTCCTGCCATTTCTTCTACAGGTGGCAGTGGTGGGAGCGAGAGTCAGGAGGAGGAAGAGCCTCAGGAGGGGAGCAGCAGTCCACAGCGGCCAGCAGTCTCAGCCCTGGTGGGGGCCAGTGAAATCGCTGAGGAAGCCCAGCCAGGACAATGGGAGTTGCCACTGCAGCAGTCAGAACAGCAGCCTGAGCTGCAGCAGCATGAGGAGCTTCAACAGCCACAGCCACACCCAGAACTGCAGCAGCAGCAGCAAGATAGGCACCAGCAGCTGTCTCAACTACAGGAAAAACACCCATCCATGCACCATCAGGAACTGAAACCAGAACTGCAGCTAATATACCAGCAGCAACAGCCACAGCCACAGCCAGTGCAAGAGCAGCAGCAGGAGCAGTTGCAGCCGCAGCAAGCACAAGAACCACAGGTGTTGCAGCAGCAGGAACAGCTACGGCAGCAAGTGCAAGAGCAACAGCTGCTGCAGCAACAGGAGGAACAGTTACAACAGCAGCAGCTGCAGCCTCCTCCCTTGGAGCCCGAGGAGGAGGAAGAGGTGGAGCTGGAGCTCATGCCGGTGGACCTGGGGTCCGAGCAGGAGCTGGAGCAGCAGCGGCAGGAGCTGGAGCGGCAGCAGGAGCTGGAGCGGCAGCAGGAGCAGCGGCAGCTGCAGCTGAAACTGCAGGAGCAGCTGCAGCAGCTGGAGCAACAGCTGGAGCAGCAGCAGCAGCTAGAGCAGCAGCAGCTGGAGCAGCAAGAGGTGCAGCTGGAGCTGACCCCGGTGGAGCTGTGCACCCAGCAGCAAGAGGTGCAGCTGGAGCTGACCCCGGTGCAGCCGGAGCTGCAGCTGGAACTGGTGCCAGCCGCAGGAGGCGGCGGAGCAGCGGTTCCCGGGGCTCCATCCGCGGTTGTGGTGGCCCCTCCGGGCTACGTGGTGCTGCAGGAGCTCATGGTGCTGCCCGCCGTGGCCGCGCCGGCAGTAGTGGCCATCCCGGGCCCCGCGGGCAGTGCGGCGCTGACCCCCGCGCGGCAGCGGCGGCGGCGGCGCGCCCGAGACCGGCCGACCATCTGCGGGGAGTGCGGCAAGGGCTTCAGCCGCAGCACTGACCTGGTGCGCCACCAGGCCACGCACACCGGCGAGCGACCACACCGCTGCGGGGAGTGCGGCAAGGGCTTCTCGCAGCATTCGAACCTGGTGACGCACCAGCGCATCCACACCGGTGAGAAACCCTACGCCTGCTCCTACTGCGCCAAGCGCTTCAGCGAGAGCTCAGCGCTCGTGCAGCACCAGCGCACCCACACGGGGGAGCGACCCTACGCCTGCGGGGACTGCGGCAAGCGCTTTAGCGTCTCCTCCAACCTGCTGCGCCATCGGCGCACGCACTCGGGCGAGCGGCCCTACGTGTGTGAGGACTGCGGCGAGCGCTTCCGACACAAGGTGCAGATCCGCCGCCATGAGCGCCAGCTGCACGGCGCGGGCCGCTCCCGAGGCCTCGGCCTGCTGCGCGCCTCGCGACCTGCGGCCCTCAGCGGCCCAGCCCGCACGGACCAGGCTGCGGCGGCAACTGCGCCCCCAGACAAGGCACTGTGAGGCCATGATCAGGGCTGCCTGGTCGGGAGGGGACCCCCCCCCCCACCCACCTCCACCTGAAAAGCTCCTCGATCAGGGTTCGTGGGTGCTGGAGGCATCCTGGAATATCCCTGCAGTAAAAGGCTTCCATCCTCATCATCATTCCCGGATTCCCTGAGAAATACCAAGGTTCACAGATTCGCCGCCAGGAAAAAAAAAAAAAAAAAAAAAAAAATCTGCCAAAAGAGAAGCAGACTGGGGCTGAAACAGCACACGGGACATGTTTCTCTGCTCTTTGAGAGGCCTGCCAAAAATTGCCCCCCTGGGAAAACTGGACATATTACAAAAGAAGAAAAACTCCCAGTGGCAAGACAGTGAATGACATTGGACGAGGACAGGACACCTACCAGGGAATCAAAGACGTGGTGAGACACACACGGAAAAAGCTTCAATCCTGGTGAAAATGATCCCAAGGAGATATTCGGGGAGGAAGCAAACTTGTTTGCACTATGTAGAAACTGATCAAGGCATTGAATCGTCCTTAGTGACATTTGCCTTGAAAATACTTTCTAGGATGAAAATTCATCAGGGTGGGTATAATTCTGATGAAAACGCCTGTGTTCATCACACAGGTCAGACTGCTCATGGGGTCAATGTGCAAATCGAAGCCAGGAAGTCCTGCTCTGGGTGGAAGGTGGAACCTTCCCTCCAGGGAACCAGGGGCTCTGGTGGGCATTGGAGGCAGGTTCTTGGCCTTTGCTGCCATGCCCCCCAGTCTCCCCAGTCCCCATTAATGTCCTCTTGAATAAGAGCCTGTGGCTGAAGCAGAGGGTGTTCTGGGAGAGCTCTCCAAAGTCTGGAAGGAGGGTCCCCCAGAAGGAGCTCTGGGGTAGCCTCACTGTGGCCCCCCGACTCCACCAGCTTCGTGCTTCTCAGATGCCACCCAGGGTCGGGCATGGGGAGACTGGGGCATATTTCTCCTGTGTCAGGCTATGGGGCTTTGGAGGGCTGCCTGAGCAGACCCTGCCCCATGTTTGGGGCTGGGGAAAGAATGTCTGGGACAAGGATTGGGAGCAATGCTCTTTATCACGTTTACCAAATCGTCTGGGGCAGGGGCTATGAGCAGCAGCAGTTGCTGGTGCCTTGTGGGAAGGTGGGGTGGGGAGGAGGCCACCCGCCACCTCTGCCCCCAGTCACTTCCTGCTCCACCTGACTCTTCACGTGTGGCTGCTTAATTCCTGCCCCTCTCTCCCCAGCTGCTTCTCCTTTACTAACACACCTGCTACATTTTACACGTGTTGGTAAGTGAGAAACAGAAACAAAAAATAAAATACAGAAATACAATGTCCTTGTCTTGGTGTTTTCACCTCTGGAGTTTGTGTCCTTCCATGGGGCTTCCTTTTTTTCCTTTCCTTCCTTCCTTTCCCCTTCCCACTTCCTTTCTTTTCCTTTCCCTTCCTCCCTCTGTCCCTTCCTTCCTTTTCTTTCTTCCTCCCTCCCTTTTTTCCCCTCCCTCCCGCTCTCTCTCCCTCCCTCCCTGCCTGCCTTCTTCTCTTTCCTCTCTTTCCCTCTTTTCTTTCTCCCAGGCTGGTCTCAAACTCTTGAACTCAAGTGATTCTCCCAACTCCGCCTCCCAAAGCACTAGAATTACAGGCATGAGCCACTGCACCTGGCTCATACCTGTAATTTTTTATTTTTATTTTTTCTATATGGACAAGGTCTCACTCTTCCCCAGGCTGGTCTCAAACTCCCAGGCTCAAGCAGTCCTCTTACCTCAGCCTCCCAAACTGCAGGGAGTACAGGTGTGAGCCACTGTACCTAGCCAGGGGTTCATTTCTTTCTTTTTTGAGAGAGGGTCTCACTCTGCTGCCGAGGCTGGAGTGCAGTGGTTGCTGCCACTGGAGTGCTGCCGAGGCTGGAGTCTCACACTGCAGCCTCAGACTCCTGGGCTCAAGCAGTCCTCCTGCCTCAGCCTCCTCAGTAGCTGGGACTACAGGTGCATGTCACAATGTCTGGCTTTTAAAAAAAATTTGAAACAGTGTCTCACACTGTTGCCCAGGCTGGAGTGCAGTGGCACGATCTTAGCTCATTGCAACCTCTGCCACCCGAGTTCAAGCAATTCTGCCTCAGCCTCTGGAGTAGCTGGGATTACAGGTGCACACCACGATGCCCAGATAATTTTTATATTTTTAGTAGAGACAAGGTTTCATCATGGCCAGCATGGTCTTGATCTGACCTCACGATCCGCCCGACTCGGCCTCCCAAAGTGCTGGGATTACAGGCGTGAGCCACTGCACCCAGCCCTATTTATTTACTTATTTGAGACTCTAGTCTCTCTGCGTTGACCAGGCTGGAGTGCAGTGGTGTGATCTCAGCTCACTGCAGCCTCAATCTCCTGGGCTCTAGCAATCCTCCTGCCTCAGCCTCCTGAGTAGGTGGGTCTACAGGACCACACCTGGCTAATTACAAAAAAGTTTTTTTGTAGAGATGGGGGGGGTCTCACATGTTGCCCTGGCTGGTCTTGAACTCCTGGAATCAAGCAGTCCTCCTGCCTCAGCCTCCCAAAGCACTGGGATTAGGGGCGTAAACCACCAAGCCCTGCCTCACTTACAGGATTTTGCTGGGGGCTGTATCTCTACTTGACTTCCTCTCCTTCCTTGGCCTGCTTCTCTTACTCCAGCACCCCCTGGGAGCATGGCCTTAATGCATCACTCACTCATCGCTGTGTTTCGAGTTCTGCCCCTCAGCAGCCTGCCCTGAGACCATGGTGCAGTTCTGGCAAGTGGAATCTGGTGGCAACACTCCCCCATAAGGTAGCAATGGGGACCTGCCTGTTTGTGGGGGTGAGTGATGGTTACCTTTGGCTGCCTTTTTTTTTTTTTTTTTTTTTTTTTTTTTCAGACGGGGTCTCACTCAGTTGCCCAGGCTGGAGTGCAGGTGCAATCATAGCTCACTGCAGCCTCCAACTCTTGGGTGCAAGGGATCCTCCCACCGCAGCCTCCTGAACGGGTCAGACTTACAGGCACACACCACCATGCCTGGCTTATTTATTATTATTTTTTTGTTGCCCAGGCTGATCTTAAACTCCTGGGCTCAAGTGATTCTCCCGCCTCATCCTCCTAAAGTGCTAGGATTACAGGTGCGAGCCACCGCCCCTGGCCTGATGCCCCTTTTTGACTTGGCGGGTGGAGTTTTAGATACAACAAGTTCTGCCAATTACCTGCCTCCCCACAGGGCACCTGGTGGGCTGGAAACATGAGGAACATCAGACACAGGAACCCAATCCCATTCCATCAAAAACTGAAAATAGGCTGGGTGCAGTGGCTCAAAATCCCAACACTTTGGGATGCCAAGGCAGGAGGATCACCTGAGGCCAGGAGTTCGAGACCAGCGTGGCCAACGTGGTGAAACCCCGTCTCTACTGAAAATACAAAAATTAGCTGGGCGTGGTGACAGGCACCTGTAGTCCCAGCTACTCGGAGGCTGAGGCAAGAGAATCTCTTGAACCCGGCAGGCAGAGGTTGCAGTGAGCTGAGATTGCACCACTGCACTTTAGCCTGCATGACAGAGCAAGACTCCATCACAAAAACAAATCCCTGAAAACAGAGTATGCCCCCCACATCTCCCGCATGTAGGTCACCAGGCCTTCTGCCAACTGGAGGTGGCTTAGGGCAAGAGGAGGACCAGCAGCCTATGTCTGCGGCTGGAGCATCCATCCCCTCCTGCTTACATGAGCAGGAGGAAGGAGGAGAGAAGTGATTGGCAGTCTGCCCTAGAGACACCACCTGCCTGGGCTTGTGCACCAAGAGAGCAGGAAATAGCAAGAACAAGAAAAGCAGATGGACGTAGCTGACCTGTTGTTGGGAAGCTTTCACTCCTCTGGAGGGCACTGGAGGGTGGGTGACAGAGATGGGTGGGGGCATCAGGAAGGCAGCCCCCCACTCCAGCCTCAGCTTGAGCTCGTGCACCAGGCTGCTGGCTGTCACGGCAGCCAGGGCCTCCAGTTCATGGCATCAGGCCTGGGGTAGGACAAGGCTCCCTCAAGTCCCAACTGTGAGGTGCAGCCTGAGAGTCACAAGCCAGGAATCAAGGGATGGTAGAACAAGGAGGTCCCTGGCCTGCATGGGGACAGGTGGTATTTCAGCAAAAGGTGGCTCGAGAAGGGGACGCAGTGGTTGTGAGGGTGTCTGTCCTGAGGAAGATCCTGAGGTGGAAGCTGTGGGCAAATCCAGGGGTCTTCAGTGGTCCTATGGTTGCAACTCTTGCTCCTGTAGGAGGTCCGTGGTGGCCATGAAAACGGCATCAGGCGAGGGGAGGTCATGACTTGCCAAGGTGGATGGAGGTGTGGTATGGGGTCCTGATGGATGCAGGAAGCCATCCAAAAAGGCTGTTTAAGGGAACCAGGTGGGAGGTGACAAAACTTCAAAGTGGCAGAGTTAAGCTGTGGAAACTGAAATTGTGTTGTGTTTTGGTGAGACGGGGTCTTGCTCTCTATCTCCCAGGCTGGAATGCAGTGGTGCAGTGATAGCCACTGCAGCCTTGAACCTGGGCTCATTCCTGTCTCCGCCTCCTGAGTAGCTGGGACTACAGACTCGCATCACCATGCCCAGCTAATTTTTAATTTTTTTGTATAGGTAAGGTCTTGCTATGTTGCTCAGGCTGGTCTCAAACTCCTGGGCTCAATCAATCCTCCCACCTCAGCCACCCCTACCCTACCCACCAAAGTGCTGGGATACAGGCCTGAGGCACTGCCCAATAACTCCCTATAAATGGGAATTACTGTTCAGCAGGAAACTGATCCCTTTGGGAACATCAGCATGGGAAGAATGCGGCCTGCTTCTGTGGTCCTTGACACCACTGTGAAAGACCAGGATACCACCTGCCTATTGCCCTTTCAGAAGAAGCCTGTCCTCCCTGCCCCAGCTCCGAGTCCACCGCAATCTCCTGTCCAGGCCGCTGCAAGGCCTGCTGGGAGTGACTGTCCACTAGGGGCTGTCGGGGCAGAAAGGAGGAGCAGATTCCTCCCTCCTGACACCCACAAACGTGTGTCCACCAGGCAGGGCTAGATCAAGTCCATGTTTTTGAAATTGAATGGGAAGGAGCAGGTGGCAGTGGGGTCTCAGGTTCTGACAGAGAAGCATGCAGGGCTGGAAACATGGTCTTTGTCTTTCCTTGTCGGGACTTTAGCCTCTTCTCCACTCAGCCTTGACCTTTGAGCATCTGTGCCAGTCTCTGCATTGCCCAGCTATAGCAAATATCCTGTCAAGTCAGTTTAGCCAGAATCCCCACCCTTGATATCTGATCAAATCCCTCCTCTCCCACCACCTGCCAGGTACCCTCTAATCACTCTCACCTGCCTTCAGCCAGGATCCTGGCAGTCAGTTCAACCAGAACCCCCCACGCCTTGGTATTTTTCCACCCAGCCACCCACTTCCCCACCCCACTCCAACCTGCTCCTGGGTTGGAAGTCTCCACTTGTCCTGCTGTATTCAGAATTGAGCCCAGTTCTATACTGAGGTCTCTTTACCCTATTGCAACAGTTCCTGAATAAAATCTGTTTTTACCATTTTAACTACTGTTCAGCTCTGGTTTCTGGTTCCCCCCCCTTTTTTTTTTGAGGGGACTACAGGAACACATCACACGTGGCTAATTTTTTTCTACTTTTTGTAGAGACAGGGTCTCAGTATGTTGCTCAGGCTGTTCTCCAACTCCTGGGCTCAAGCAATCCTCCCACCTTGGCTTCTGAAATGCTGGGAGTATAGGCATAATATGGTTTGGATGGGTGTCCCCACCCACATCACATGTTCAATTGTTATTTATTTTTATTTTTTTTGAGATGGAGTCTCACTCTGTCGCCCAGGCTGGAGTGCAAGGGTGCAATCTCAGCTCACTACAACCTCCACTTCCTGGGTTCAAGAGATTCTCCTGCCTCAGCCTCCTGAGTAGTTGGGATTATAGGCACCTGCCACTGTGCCTGGCTAATTTTTGTATTTTTAGTAGAGACGTGAATTCACCAGGTTAGCTAGGCTGGACTCAAACTCCCGACCTCAGGTGATCCACCTGCCTCGGCCTCCTAAAGTGCTGGGATTACAGGTGTGAGCCACCGCGCCGGGCTTCTCATGTTCAATTGTAATCCCCAGTGTTGGAGGTGGGGCCTAGTGGGAGGTGATTGGATCATGGGGGTGGTTTCTCATTGTTTAACACCATCCCCCTTGGAGCTGTCATGAGAGCGAGTTCTTGTGAGAGCTAGTTGTTTACAAGTGTGTGGCACCCCTCCCCTCTCATTCCTCCTGCTGCGGCCATGTGAAGTGCTGGCTCCTTCTTCATCTTCCACCATGATTATATATTTCCTCGAGCCACTGCATTCCAGTCATGCTCCCCATACAGCCTGCAGAAACATGAGCCAGTTAAACCTCTTTTCTTTGTAAATTACCTAGTCTCTGGCAGTTTTCGATAGCAATAGGAGAACTGACTAACACAAAGCTATCATTCCCAGCCTCGGGTATGGTTTCTTTTTTTGTTAGCAGTCTCATTCTGCCACCAGGCTGGAGTGCAGTGGCTCGATCTCAGCTTATTGCAACTTCCCAGGTTCAAGCCATTCTCGTGCCTCAGCCTCCCCAGTAGCTGGGATTACAGGGGTGCACCACCACGCCCAGTGAATTTTTGTATTTTTAGTAGACGGGGTTTCACCATGTTAGCCAGGATGCTCTCTATCTCCTGCGCTTGTGATCCACCTGCCTCAGCCTCCCAAAATGCTGGGATTACAGGCGTGAGCCACGGCGCCCGGCCTGGGGTATGGTTTTAATAGCAGCACTACTGCCTTCAGCCTACTCCAGGCACACAGAGGCTCAGTGGGGGCATACCTCAGCATCCCTTTGCACCAGGCTCCCTGCCAGCCCCTGATGTGAGAGCTCAGGAGGAGCCCAGGAGGGCTTCCTATAGGAAGAGATGGCTGAGCAAGTCCTGAGAGCTGACTGAAGGGGAGCTCTACCCAGCCAAGGTTCCAGTCCCTGCAGGTGGGTCTGTGCAGATGTGGGGCAGGCCCAAAGCCCATGTGCTTGAACAAAGATGCCCTCGGCCTCACAGAATTCCAAAGCCCGAGATGCCTGGAACCTTTCCACATCCCCTATGTCCCTGCTGATGAGTCACAAGAAGGCTGAAGCATAGACAAACTTCGAGCCAATCACTGGGTGGGTGGGCACCCTCCTCACTGCCATCATCCACCGTGGAGGATGGGGCAGGAGCCAGGTAGATGACACCCCAGGAACTATTTCATGAGTATCCTTGGATATTCCCCCAGCCCTAACCCCACCACCTGCTCATAGATATATGAGTGACACAGAAATTGTATTAGTGTAAAAAGGGTTGATTTACTTTTTGCAATCCATTAGATTTCTTACTTTTTTGTTTTAAACAGAGGTGATCAAGTTAAAATATTTTATTGATTTATTTATGGAGATGGAGTCTTGCTTTGTTGCCCAGACTGGAGTGCAGGGGTGCATTCTCAGCTCATTGCAACCTCCACCTCCTGGGTTCAAGCGATTCTCCCACCTCTCAGCCTCCCAAGTAGCTGGGATTACAGGTACCCACCATCATGCTTGGCTAATTTTTGTATATATAGATACAGTTTTTAGTAGAGATGGGGTTTCACAATGTTGGCCAGGCTGGTCTTGAATTCCTGACCTCTGGTGATCCACCTGCCTCGGTCTCCCAAAGTGCTGGGATTACAGGCATGAGCCACACACCTGGCCTTATTTATTTTTGCAATGAAGTCTCTCTCTGTCTTCCAGGCTGGAGGGTCATAGCACAATATGAGCTCACTGCAACCTCTGCCTCCCAGGTTCAAGCGATTCTCCTATCTCAGCCTCTTGAATAGCTGGGATCACAGGCATGTGCCACTATGCCCAGCTAGTTTTTGTATTTTTGGTAGAGACATGGTTTCCTGTTTCACCATGTTAGCTAGACCGGTCTCAAACTCCTGATGTCAGCTGATCCACCCACCTCAGCCTCCCAAAGTGCTGGGATTACAGGTGTGAGCTACTGTGCCCAGCTATTTTATTTTCAGAGACAGAGTCTTCTTCTGTCACCCAGGCTGGAATGGTGTGATCATAGCTCACTGCAGCCTCAAACTCTTGGGCTCAAGCAATCCTCCCACCTCAGCCTCCCAAGTAGCCGGCATGCACCGCCACACCCAACTAATTTTTAAATTTTTAGTAGAGTCAGGGTTTCACTATATTGCCCAGGCTGGTCTTGAACTCCTAGGCTCAAGCCATCCTCAGACTCCCAAAGTACTGGAATTACAGACGTGAGCCACTGCACCTAGCTAATTTTAAAAAAATTTGTGTAGAAACAGGGTCTTGTTATGTTGCCAGGCTACTCTTAAACTCCTGGTCTTAAGCTATCCTCCTGCCTCAGCCTCCCAAAGTGCTGGGACTACAGGCATGTGCTAACCCCGGCCTACTTTTTAATTACTTCCTTCTTCAAATGAATTTGGGGGAATCTATCAAGGCCGAGTTCAGTAGTGAGTGACAGGAAGGTCCAACTAAACTATAGTTTATGAAAACCAACTGTCCTCAGGTCAGAGGCATCCTGAGGCAGGTGGCCCAGGGCTGGTCCAGCATCTCCCCAAGGCCAAGGATACTTAAGCTCTACCAGCTTCCTCCTTTCCGTCTCCTCAGTCCCTCAGCAGTGCTGTCGGAGCAAGAAGCAAAAAATCACTGGTGGGGCCGGGCGAGATGGCTCACACCTGTAATCCCAGCGCATTGGGAGGCTGAGATGGGAGGATCACTTGAGCCCAGGAATTTGAGACCAGCCTGGGCAACATAGGGACACACCATCTCTACAAATATTAATAATTAACAAATTAGCCAGGCATGGTGGCACGTGCCTGTGGTACCAGCTACTCAGGGGGCTGAGGCAGGAGGATCACCTGAGCATAGGAGGTCAAGGTTGCACTCCAGCCTGGGTGACAGAAGGGGAAGGGCAGGAAGGGAAAGGGGGTAAAAGGAAGGGAGGGGAAGGGGAGGGAATGGAAGGGAAAGGAAGGAAAGGGAAGGGGAGAGGAAAGGAAAGGAAAAAGGGAAGGAAAGGGAAAGAAAGAAAAGAAAAAGCGAAGGGAAGGAGAAGAAAAAGAGAAAGAAAGGAAGGAAGAAAGAGGAGAGGGAAGGAGGGAGGAAGAAGGGAGAGAGGAAAGGAAGGAAAAAAGAAAGGAAAGGAGAAATTTTCTGTAGACGAGGTAGAGGAAGAAATTGAGTCTTGGATTAAATATCAGGTCAGGACAAGATAAGAGGAGATCCAAGAAGATGCTGGGGTGATTTGGGATCCTTGCCTCACAGGGTGGAGGGTTCTAAGGCTGGAACGGAGCTGTTGACTCTCTGTTATACACCCTCCTCCTCCCCTGGGGTCCCCTGCCCTCCACATTATAGGTGGATTTGGGCCATGGGCAGCACTGGCAGGTGACAGGGTGCAGAAGGGCAGGGTTGGGGAACTCTCTTGCCCCCATGCTGTCCCTCCACAATCACAGTGCCCACCAGATGAACCCCTCTTTATACCTCCACCTCCCTCCAGGCTTAACAACATCCTGCCCTTTCCTGTTCCTGCAGGGCTAACGGTGGCAAAGGCCTGGTGCCTTCACATTCCAGCTGCTTCACTTTACCTGGTGTATCAGTCCGTTTTCACGCTGCTATAAAGAACTGCCCAAGACTGGGAAATTTACAAAGGAGAGGTTTAACTAACTCACAGGGCTGGGTACAGTGGCACATGACTAATGCCAGCACTTTGGTAGGCCAAGGCAGGTGGATCACGAGATCAGGAGTTCGAGACCAGCCTGACCAACATGGTGAAACCCCGTCTCTACTAAAATATAAAAGTTAGCTGGGTGTGGTGGCATGCGTCTATAATCCCAGCTACTGGGGAGACCGAGGCAGGAGAATCACTTGAACTTGGGAGGTGGAGGTTGCAGTGAGCTGAGATGGTGCCACTGCACTCCAGCCTGGGTGACAGAGCCAGATGCTGTCTAAAAACAAAAAACAACCCCCCACCTCGCAAAAAATGGACTCATAGTTCCACATGGCTGGGGAGACCTCAGGAAACTTACAATCATGGCAGAAGGGGAAGCAAACACTTCCTTCTTTACATGATAGCAGGAAGGAGAAGTGTGGAGCAAAGGGGAAAAACCCCTTACAAAACCATCAGATCTCATGGTAACACACTCACTAACATGAGAACAGCATGAGGGGAACCGTCCCCATGATTTAATTACCTCCCACCAGGTCCCTTCCATGAAAGGGTGAGAATCAGAACTAAAATCCAAGATGCGATTTGGGTAAGGACATAGCCAAACCACAACACCGATTTTGGTTAATTGTCCTATAGTCAGAGCCTTTCCTGGGAAGCGCCTGGGGGCAAATTCGTCTTCCTTCGGAACCAGACAGATCAGGTAGGGTGGGGAAGGGTCTAATCTAGGGACTGAGAGTTCAAAAACTTAGATACCCACAGGACAGTCAGGCAGTGTCATTCAGACATGGGCCTGGAGGAAGGGGATAGGGAGTGGTGGGCACTGAGGGCTATGGCCACGCCCAGTCCCACCCACAGAGGCTGGTTACTTCTCAGGCAGGTGTGCTGCAAACCTAGGGCCTTGTGTTGCCAGAACTTCTGATTTTTCAAATTTTACTCATTATTAGAGACGGGGTTTCACTCTGTTGCCCAGGCTGGAGTGCAGTGGTACAATCATAGCTCACGGCAGCCTCGGCCTCCTGGGCTCAAGCGATCCTCCGGCTTTATTTTCCCAAAGTGCTGGGATTACAGGTGTGACCCACCTTGGCCCCCCAGAGTGCTGAATTTATAGGTATGAGACCACACATTGAGGCCCAGTTTTTCTTTCTTCCTTTTTTTAACAAGAGTGGGACTCTTAATTTTTAAATGTTATTACATTAACTTTAAGACATTTTAAAACACCAGGAGCCAAGCAACATCATACTGTTAGGGGTTTGATTCAAGGCGTTAGGGCTGCAACCCTCTGTGGGACGAAGGTTTGAGTCCTCTCCTTTTTTTTTTGAGACGGGAGTCTTGCCCTGTTGCCCAGGCTGGAGTGCAGCGGCATGGTCTAAGTTTACTGCAACCTCCACCTCCCGGGTTCAAACGATTCTCGTTCCTCAGCCTCCCGAGTAGCTGGGACTACAAGTGCATGCCACCAGGACCAGCTAATTTTTGTATTTTTAGTAGAGATGGGCGTTCACCATGTTGAACTCCTGACCTCGTGATCTGCCCACCAAGACTTCCCAAAGTGCTAGGATTACAGGCGTGAGCCACTGTGCCTGGCAGAATCCTCCTCTATCTCTTGCCCAGTCAGGTCTGGGGCCCCCACAGAAAAGCACCAGGAACAATGGTGCAGGCGGGCTGGGAGCTGGGGAAGGGGCCTGGGCCACACCATTCCAGGTCGAAGACAGACCTCGGACTCCACTGATGCCAGAGCTAATCCTCAGCCCCCAGCTGCACCCCTTGGGAATAGACGCAGACATTTTGTCGGCCGCTGAGCGCACCGACCCCTCCCCGGGCTCCTAGGGTCGCCTATCATTTCTGCCCTCACACTGACTATTCCCTCTGCCTGGATAATCGCTTCCCTGCCGGTGACTCCACGTCCCTCCATGTGCGGACTCCACAAACCCAGGCCCCTCCTGCACTCAGCCGCCACAGCCCACCCAACCCGCGAGTCCTCTGCCCGTCTCTCCGCCCTCCTCACCCACAAGACGTTCACCCTACTTGGGCCCGGGGTCTGGCGGAGGCGTGGACACCTGACCTTCTCCCGACCACAGGGGTCGTCGCCTCCCTCCACCGTCTTGGGGTCCAGGGCAGGCCCCGTGGACGCTCGGAGAGGGCCCAGCGCGGGTCCGGGTCCTCAGCGGGCACCCCTTGATGAACGAAGTTGGGCCGGGGTTCCGGGAAGGCGATGGTCGTCGCGGCGGGACCTCGAGGTCACCGAGGTGTCCTGGAGCGGGGCGAGGTCGTGGGCGCCCCACGAGTGTCGAGGGCACTCCGGTCCCCTCCCCACACGCCCCGTCCTCGCTCGGCCGGAGGCTCAGCTGGGCAGCCCCCTCCAACCCGCGCTTCCCGGCTCCGCGCCGTGGCCCCCGCGTGACCGGAAGTTCCTCCCCCCGCGGGCACTGGCGGGGCGGGGCTGGCCGGCGGCACTTCCGGTGCCCACGCGCCGCCGCCGCGCAGCTCCCGAGCCGTCACTTTGTGTAGCGCGGGGCCCGCCGCCGGCCAGCAGGCCTCAGCCCCGGTGTCCGGCCCGCGGCTTGGCCAGCCCGGCCCGCGCGGTGAGTGGGTCTCGCGGGGCCAGTGGGCGGCGGCGCGGGGGTGGCAGGTGCGGGCGGGCCGGGCTCACGCTCAGGGTCGGCGGCGGCGGCGGCGGGGCCCGATTGGCCCTCGACGCCCGGCGCGGGGAGGCCGCGGGGAGGCGGCGGGGCCGGGGCCTGAGGGGCCGGAGCTGAGCGCGGGTCAAGCCTTCAGCGGCAGCGTCCCCGCCTCCCGGACCCCCGCCCGGGCCTGCGCGTTGCGGGCGGGCGCCGACCCCTGGCGCCGGTCCAGGCAGGGGGCGGAGGGGGCAGGTCGGGGAGGCCACGCGCGACACGTCGGGGGGCCCGCCCACGCCTTCTCGGCCGCAGCTACAGTGGCTGGGCCCCGGCCGCCCCCAGGACACACCCATCCAGGAGGGGCTGTCACTGTCTGAGTCTCTGCAGGAGGCGGTGACTCTGGACGCCCCCTGCGGGGCGGGAGGCGCTCGGCCGTCGCCCCAGGAGCCCGCTTTGTGACCTTGGGGGCCTTGTCTGGGCTTTACCCTCATCTGCAGAAGGAGCCCCCGTGGGCTGCTCGGCCGTCTTCTGCTGCTTGGCAGGTGGGTAGGGACACCCATTCCTGGGATTGGATGGGGTCTGGCCTGTCCCGCGTGGCAGCAGAGGTAGGAAAGGGGCTGGTCTCTGGTCGAGGAACTGATGGGCAAGGGGAAGTGCAGGTACCAGGAAGGTCAGTCCCCCAGCTCTGCTTGTGTGGGGAGACCTTAGTGCTTGGTTTGGTTCAACAAGTGTGGGCAGATCTCCGGAGCTGAGTGGGATGGTGAGGGGCTACCCTGGGGGACTTGGGATGGCCCCCATGGAAATACTTGCTCCAGGAGCAAACCCAGGATAGTAGGGTGATCCAGGATCTGAGGACAGATAGTGAGGACTGTTGTGGTTGGGGAAGGTGGACCTCCAGGAGGGCATGAAGACCCGAAGGGCTCAGAGGGCGGGCGGTGCGGGGGTGGGTACCCAGAGGGAATGAAGGGGACTAGTCACAAGCGTACTCACATGTCTCTTCCCACTCTCCGAGTTGGGTTTCCCTGGCTTTGGGGCTTTTGTGGAGAATTTCTATCCACTTTTAAGCTTTGCCTCTGCTTCCTGTCCTTGCCTCCCTCCCTGCTCCTCTTGGAAGGTGCCTTGTCACCTTCGACTCTAAATGTCTGCAGCACCATATCCTAGAGTGCAGGGCCCTGATAGAAATGAGGATTTGGGGCCGGCTCAGTGGCTCAGGCCTGTAATCCCAGCACTTTGGGAGGCGAAGGCCAGGTGGATCATCTAAGTTCAGGAGTTTGAGAAATGAAGGTTTGAGATGACGTTGATGAGGCCCCCTGTGGCCTCTGACCCAGAGTTGGATGCAGAGGGAGAGGTGAGCCGTGTTTACAGTGGGCCGGTAGGCTGGCAAGAGGAGGGAGAGTGCAGGCCTGGGGGAGGCAGAGATAACCCAGGGCAAGCTGCTGGAATCTAAACTCTGTTTGGCCCGCTGAGGTCCATTTTTCAAAGCATTCTGTTCTGAATCTTGGGTTGGGGTGATGTCTGGCTGTGCTGCTGACCTCTGTAGGAGCTGGTCCTCCATCTTCTCTGGTCATCAGTGGGTAGACCTTTTGGGAGAAAGGACTTAACTCAGTGCCTTCTTTGGAGGCAGAGACTCTCCACTGCTTCTGGGTGAGTTCCAATTGGAAGGATCCCCCCGACTGCCCGACTCCAGCAGTGGTCAGCCTGTTCTAGAACAGAGCAGTAGGGTCAAAATGCTGAGTGTAAAAAATCCTATGTCGCTCACATTGGCTGTTGACTTTAGAGTCATTCTTTCAGGAAGTATTTGAATGCTGCTTTCAGATGCAAGCAAAGGGAGCTCTTGCTGCCCTGGAGTTGACAATATGCAGGGAGAGAGATCCTAAGACAGTCTCATAAGTGTTTTTTTAAAATATGCTGCATGCTGCGAAGGAAGAATTACAGGGAACCATGTCACCCCTGGGGCCAAGGGGCTTCCTCGGAAGATCACCCAGGAAGAGGGGAAGAAAGTTCCGGGAATGGGGAACAACACACACACAGGTCCTGAGATGGGATGAACGTGGGGCCACTTTATCCCAAAGCCATGCAGTTTTCTTTTGTTGTGTCCTCATGTATGGCGCCCTGGCTCTGGGAGTTTAAAGTTGTTGCCTCAGGTGGTGGCTAGGCACGAGACAGCTCTGCTGGGCTTGGTCCATTCTGGCACCTAGGCCCAGCCTGAATCTGCGGCCTGAGGCCTGACTGAGAAAAGCCCTCCTCTGGGCCTCCAGTGGGTGGCAGTTGGGAAACCATTGCTGAGTGTTCCCGGTGCCCTGAGTGCTGGGCAGGGCTGAATCCTCCTGGAGGTGGCTAGCATAACACGTAGCACATGGATTTCAACACTGTGGGCATCTTCACACGACAAAGAGCTGTGGACACTGAGGAGGCCGACTTCTGGGAGAGGCCGGTGGTTGGGGTGGCGCTCCCCAGGCATAATTCTGTGACCCAAGTATTTGGGGTCAGTGATTCTGAAACTAGAAATGGTGCTGGAGCCAGTGAGGGGGCACATGTAACTTTTGGGACAGAGGTGGTTTCTGGATGCCTGTGTGTCCCAGCCCTTGACTTGGGTGAGCCTGTGTGACTGCTCAGAGCTTCCTGGCTATTAAAGTGTGGATTTAAAGCAGCTGCTCAAAGCAGTTCAGGAAATGAGTATGTGCAGCTGATATGGTTTGGGTGTCTGTCTCTGTGTTAGGCAGTCCTCACATTGTTTTAAAGAAATACCTGAGACTGGGTACTTCGTAAAGAAGAGGTGAAATTGGCGCATGGTTCTGCAGGCTGTACAGGAAGCATGGTGCTGGCATCTGCCTGGCTTCTAGGGGGCCTCAGGAAGCCTTTAATCATGGTGGAAGGTGATGGGAAGTAGGCATGTCACATGGCAAAAACAGGAACAAGCAAGAGAGAGTGGGGAGGCGCCATACACCAGATGTCCTGTGAACTCAGAGCAAGCACTCACTCATTACTCAGTCTCCAAGGGGATGGCCCAAGCCATTCCTGAGGAATCCGCCCCCATGAGCCAGTCACCTCCCACCAGGCCCCACTTCCAACATTGGGGATGAGGGTTCAACCTGAGATTTGGGTGGGGGCAAACATCCAGGACATCTCTGTCCCCTTCCAGTCCCATGTTGAAGCGTGATTTCCAGTGTTGGAGGCGGGCCTGGTGGGAGGTGACTGGCTCATGCGGGCGGATCCCTCGTGAATGCTTTAGTGCCATTCCCTTGGTGTCAAGGGAGTTCTCAGTTCAGGAGAGATCTGGTTGTTTTAAGAGTCTGGGGCTTCCTCCCTCTCTCTCACTCCCCCTTTGCCTCCCTTCATGAGTGGAAGCTTCCTGAGGTCCTCCCCAGAAGCAGGTGCCAGCACCATGTTGGTGCAGCCTGTAGAACTGTAAGTGAATTAAACCTCTTTTCTTTATGACTTACCCAGCCTCAGGTATTCCTTCATGGCAGTGTGGAAACGGCCTACTGCAGCTGCCTAATTGGTGGAGAAGTGATGGGTACGGAGGGAGAGTTAATTGCGGAGCAGCTTTTTTCTCTGTCCATAAGAACACCAGGTGTGGTCGTCTGGACTATTCTCACCAAGGGCACTCAGTCTTGTTTTAGGAGTTCTGTGGCAGACACTGTCCACTGCTAGAGCTGGATGAGCTGGGCTGGGCCCAATGCTCTGTGTGGCCAAGTGGCCTGACATTCCAGGATGCTTGTGGGGCTCCTGCCCTTACTCCCTGGATTCTGGGCCTGGCTCGCTTTAGAAATGGCCCTATTCAGGCCAGACACACTGATGGTGTGTGTCCTGGGTGATGGGCCCGGTCTCAGGTTTATATCCAGAAAGGAGCCCTGGAAATAGACTCATCAGTGCTGTGACTCTGCCCTGCCCTTTGGGACCCCACAGGGGCTGGTGAAGGACGTGCAGTTGGGAGGGGCGAGAGGTCCCAGGGCCAGCAGCTCGCATCCTGCTGTGACCATGGCCCTGGACCCTGTGTCAGTGTGGCTGCCTCTTCCCTGAGCTTCTGGGCTGAGCTGTCCCTGACGTCAGTGGGAGTGTAGGACCCTATAGCCTCTGGGGCTTTGGCAACTCAGCTCTTAGGAGTGTCTGATCCCCAAACTTGAAATGTCACAGGGCATTTCCTGTCCTCTTGATGGTCCAGTGACGGGCCTCCACCATGCACTGTGCTTTTCACAGAGCGAGGGCTGAGGACACATCAGGGTGATGCTGGCTCATGCCCCTGCTCTCCTGTGTCCTGCAGGAAGGAGCCTGACCTGCTGGCTTCCTGGCGCCTGTCTCTCCTCCCAGCCCTGTTGTGCCTTACAAGAGCCTGTAGTCTGTCTGTGCTGAGAGCTCTTTGCGTTCCCTGCTGGCCTGGTTCATGTGTGTTGAGGACGAGGTAAGTGTCTCTTTGTCCTGTGTATCAGGTGGGCTTTTCCTTCTGGCTAAGCTTGGCCCCTCCAGCTAAACATGGGCCACCCTCAGGCTGTGTGATGCTTCCCTGGGGATAAAGACTCTGGGATAAATGCCTGATTTACTCAAGGAAAGAGCAGCAGTTCACACCAGGCACACAGTTCTTGTGAAAAGGAGCTTAGACTGGCATCCCAGGGTCATGCGGAGGGGCTTTGAACTTTTGGGGCTGCTTTTCTGGGCATGGAATGTCTTGGTGGTACAGGGTAAGAGTGTGGGAAAGCCTGGTCCTCCCTCATCTCTATTGTCTTCAACTACATAACAGGAGGAGTAAATTCTGCTCCCCGTACCCCTGAGGCTGTGGGGGACCCTGTGAGGGGACCCGTATGGTATGCTGAGAACAGCCCA